GAAAGCCCCCTACTTCCCTCTTGATTTATTCCCTCGCTAAACCGTGTAAACATGAGTTCACCATTCAGAGTCAGATGAAGAGAATGCTGTAGAGGGGGCTTAATGTGATTGACAGGTTACTTCCCGCTACCACAGACTTCTCTTCGTCCCTTTTCTGCTTTCCCAATATAGTAACTGTTCACTGGTTGCAGAAAAAACATGCTGACAGCCGTGACAGTGGCTTACTAAGCTGCTTACCACTTTATGTGCCGGTTATGAACGGCGGCAAAGATATTTCCCCTGATGGGCAACGGACGGACGCGAGGAAACGAAGACTTTAGACGCATTAGGGCGGATAATTGATGAGGAGTGTGAGCTCGTTAACTTTAATATGGGAATGTGCTGCCAGGCCATTAAGATTCCCCAAAACACACAAAAAAAATCTCAATCTGATTAATTTTCAGTGGATTTGCAAATCATAAAGACAATTTTGGACAGTTCAATAATAGGTTACGTATCTAGTAGCACCGTAAAGAATCTTCTTTCTTCTTATTGACCAGGATGTGTCCTTCAACTCGATACAAAATATATTAAATAAATCAGGCACTTTCGGTCCAAAGTGATGCAGAAAATGTGTCATGTGTTTGTTACTTCTAGACTAGATCACTGCAATTCTGTATTATCAGGCTGCTCTTATAAGTCTCTTAAGAGTGCTCCAGCGACCAGAACTAAGAAAGGGGATCATATTACTCCTGTATTAGCTGCTCTGCACTGGCTCCCTGTTAAATCAAGAATAGAATTGAAGGTTCTTCTTCCCACATGCAAGGCACTTGCTGGTGAGGCACCGTCTTACCTTAAGGAGCTCATAACACCATTTTGTCCTACTAGAGAGCTGCACACTTGAACAACACACTCAAGTTATCCTGGACCAGCCCTTAGATAAGCTGCCAACGGCCCAGACTGCCGGGGGATTTCTTAGGACAGACCAAGCCACTCTCGCTCTCTTTCTATAATAATTAAATCACTAATTTAGCTTCTTCCCCAGAGTTTTTGTGCTTTTTCGCCTTGCAGGTTTCCATGGATTATGGTTAAATCTGGACTCTGGTCCTACCTCCTACCAAGGCCCCGCTGACACCTTCCGCTTCTAACACCATTATTAGTCCCATTTTTATTACTGTAGACATTCATGCACGGTCTGGTCCCTGTTCCTGCCTCCTGCCTCGGCCCGGCTGCTGCTGTCAGTATTCATATTAACCACATTACTAGTACTGTAATCACAAACCAACATTACCAACTTGGCGTCTTTCCAGTCTTTGTAATTTGGGGTATGCAAAATAAAAAAATAAATGAATTTAATTCAAATCTGGTAAAAGATCTGGTGATTATTAAATTTGATTTAAGTGTGAGCTGTGAGATAAGCTTGACTGGAATGTTTTTATAGGGCTGTCAAAATAACACGTTAATCTATCCAGCTTATTAGTGCAATCAAATATTTTAACGCAGTTAACGCAGCTTTGTTTACTTCTGGTGTGCGTTGACCCCTGACCCCGCCGCGCCCCTGCGGTCAGTTAGATTGGAGAGATCGAGACGGTAGTTGAAGTTGAAGATGGAGAGCAAACAGAGGTGCGACAAAAAGGTGAGAACTAAGCGATAAGCTAGCTGCTAGGCTACTTCCATCTCCCTACCCTGCGCGGCACACAGTCTGCAGAGGACCACCACGGTGTCCCTAAAAGACAGTGGTTTGGAAAACATCCTGGCGTCCTGGTCAAATGACATTGTTTGCACTTCAAACACAGCCGTCAAATGATTGAGAGTTGAGAGAAAAGTGCACGAGGACAACAGTCGCTAGTTCAACATGTTCCACCCGGTGGAATTCTGCCTCTATGATGATCAAATGTGTGTAGTTTCATGTTTAAAAAAATACAATTGAGTGACGGGTGTCTAACATACCCGCTTTCTGAAGGAATTACTTTTGAGATTCATTTCTAAGATTTAGTCTTTAGAAGAAAGAAAAAAAAACTTAATTGCCAAAATGTGAGATTAACTAATTAATGAACTATAAAATTAAGTAATTAATCTATTGACAGCCCAAGTTTTTTATCTTCACTGTACTGCAGCGCTGGCTAACTGATGATCTGCAGATAGGGCTGGAGGCTTATTGAGAACAGTTAAATCAACATTACTTGCATGCGCCTGCACACCCTCGACAAAATAAGTTTCAAAACTAATTCTGGTGTGCTGTTATTTCTGCAGCATCAGCACCATGAATTAACACCAGAGGAGAGGAACTTTGAAAGGGAGATAACCTCAACAAGGTCTTTGCTGCTTTACAGAAAATAGATCAATGAGTAAGCCTCCCAATTAAATACATATTTTCAATGAAATATAAATGAAACAGTGTAATTACACTTTCTCGCTACTCTCTCTCGGAGATGACCGCACTTCAAAAGTGAGCCAAACCGACCCATCTCTGCCGTCTTCAGTAGACTACAAAAAGGAGACGAATAGAATATCTTTGAAAGTATGGGCTGGTATAGAATCTTACACAGGTGTGACTACGTAAACATGGTAAATGTCAATGAGTGGAGAAACATAAGAAGGCAAAGGGTTTATAATGTACAGTTGGAAGCTGTGTGCGAGTGAGGCACAACACCGAAAAAAGGCTCCCACTGCTGGATGGGAGCGTTCTCGGGTTCAGACTTTGTAACTTCCACTGCTTTATCGAGACCATTCAGCTCAGCCAACCAAGCCAGCAGAGACACAAGTGCGATGGAACTCTGTTTCCAGGCAGCCTGAGGCGGGCTCTGGATTGTGTGAGGAGGTATTCCCATGCGAGCGCTCCGTGTGGGGCGAGGCGCTGCCTGCATGGCAACTGTGTCTGTGGGAAGCCTCTCGCTTGTGCTCTGGCCTTCACGTTGGGGCCGAGGGACGCGAGTAACGAGACACGCGCGGGGTTTCTGCGAGTGTGTTGGGAAGAAACGTGTCGAAGACGTTCTCTCTTTTTTTTGACCAGTTCCTGAACTTTTTACGATGTAAAAAATTTGATACCAGTATGTTAAAGAAAAATGTCCATTGTAAAATATATTTTGCTACTTGCTCCGTCTGCTAGCACCCGCCCCTTCGGTATGTGCCATGCCAGTCGGGCCGTGTGGCATCTCTCTCATCTCCGTCCAGGGTTGCACTTGCTCAGTAGCGACTCGGGCCGCATGTGCGGATCGGGTGGCGAGGGACACATTGAGCAGAGAAAAGACGAGCAATATCGAGACAGAGACTTGCATACTCACCCAAACCTGATTAACCACTTTGTGCTGCATCTGAGGTTTAATAATACTGGTGTAGGATCAACTCTTAGAGGGGCAGGATGAGAACGAGCAGATCCCCCGCGCTCACCAATTATCTCACACCCCCGCAGTGCAATGAAAATAGAAATCAAGTGAACCTCAGTTTAAGTTGTCAGGCCTCTCCTCTCTCTGCTATCTGAGGTAGAGGCCATTAATTGGCCTAATTTTTTTTTTTTTTATAAAGGAGTCCAGGCAACGTTTGAAAAGAGCAGAGAATGAACTGCACCAGACAGCAAATTCACAGAACAGTTTTTACAGGGAGGAGGCAGAATACTAAAAACAAAAAGAATGAAAGTCCCTACTGTTTTGTTTTATGCTCAAAAGGGAGAATACACTTAAAAGAGGGAAGAAATGCACCACATGCAATAACAAAGAACAGCCCCCCCAAAAGCTAAAAGTCTTTTAAAAAATGTGCATGGTCAGATATCATCAGAAGTAGCAGCTAGATGGGAAGAAATGTGCAGTTCACGTAGAGAAGCTCATTAAAAAGCAGTCTGGACCCACCACAAACAAATAAATCACACCACAGCATGAAACATGATGATTACTACAGCGCTCTCAGGTTAGGATTCTGTAACTATAAATGCTTGGTTGGGATTAGCTCAGCCAACCGAGCCTGCACACGTGGGTAAAAATGATTACTACAGAGGCATCAGCTGCCGTACCGCCCGACTACAGATGAAACCACGCTACTGTCAAACCCGTGAATGGGCAGAGAAATTACCAGACTCACACAGACAGCGAGTCAAACCGGTAGAACACCGTTAAACAACCTCCACAATGCTGTAAAACTCATGCTGCCTCTGGTGCTACCAACTACTCACCCAAGTCATCTAGTTAGCGCTGTCGATAAAAACTAAAACTACAGGCAACCAGAAGCGTACTCGCTCATAGAACCCAGCATTTACTGGCAACGTCAATAACTCATTAAACAGACCAATATTAATTTGCCCTGAGACAAAAGGGCCCAAAGTTCTTAAATAATGAAAAGTTTTAGATAACCAACAAAAGTCTTTAGTCTCGAAGTGAGAGTAATCGTGGTGTTTGATAGGGTCTTTTGTGGCCTGTTCTTTTCGAACAAAACGAAAATTTGAAATGATGGATGACCTGAGGAAAGTGTTCAGTTGGAATAATATTTTTTCCCTTGGTTGCCTTTGATGTAGGAGTTGATGGAGAGCCAGAGACACAAGCGAGAGAGATGCTGACTCAATTCCATTGGAAATATTTTGGTTTGTTAATTGGTTCAACTAAATCAATATACATCTTTCTCATTAAATTGCCATGTAATTCTACTTGAATATAGTAACACTATATTTCTGTGACAAAGGCAGTCCTTTACATCAAGTTATTTTATTTATTTATTCTTTAAATACAGGATGTGCGGTGGGAGACATCAAAGATTTCCTCTCACTGATTATTGCCGCAGAATGCAGCCAGCGCCACCGGCTCACTTGTTTTATGAAAAGTCATTAGTGAGGAGCAAATGTGAAAGGCTTTGCTATGAAGGGGTTTACTCTAGACACACATCCAAGCTCAGTACCGGAAGAAACAGAGCAATCGAGAAATATAGAAACATTTGGTGGAGAAGACTACATTAGCTGCACTGGGAAAATAACTGATAAATAAGGCAATACAATAGGAAATGGGATCAGACACAAAGCGGCGGCCGCTGAACCCTACCTTGACCTCAATGAAGTCCGGCTGGCCCAAAGCAATGAGCTCTGAGTAAGACTGCATCTCCTCCACGTTCCAGGCCTTCACCAGCGTCAGTCTGTACACCGTCCTTTGTCTCTGGATGGACAACAGGGGAAGAAATGAACACAGGGCTTCGGTGGAGGAACAGCGCGCTGCATATTTAGCATTAGAGGAGTAAGGAAAGGTCTCCAACTACCACATCCAGTAAACACAGAGCATATATTGGGAGCCAACAACACATTTGTGCAGATTTTTCACAGCTAAACTGAACAGAATTAGAATTAGATTAAGTGTTACAACGAGTGCTGCTATTGAATCAGTGTTTTGCCACAAATACACAGCGAAAGAAAAAACAAGTCACATCTCACAGACGACCCGTCGACCCCCTTTCTGCCTTCTGTTGGTTCAGGGCGGCTTTGTGTGTCTGCTAATGCGCAACGACTGCTGCGCTGCATTGGACATGTGGAGTCATTCACATGCTGATCGCAGCCAATCTGGGCCCTTTTTTTTTATAAAGTCGTTTGCATCATTTGACACCTGTGTTTTATTTTATATATTATTTTATATCCTTTTATTAATTTATTTGTACATTATTCTCCTTTGTTCCATGTATGCACCACCCAGCATGACAATTTCATACGTACAACATACCTGACGAATAAATGATTCCGATTCAAGAGATTTCCAATGATTTTGTTTAATTAACAGTCAGAAAGCTGTCAAAAATATCCCAACCCACATTGAAAAGAATACTGGACCTCCGACGAATAGTTAGCGAGCAAACAGGGAAGGTAGCAAGGAAGCAAGTTATGTGCGCATTGTATGAAACCAGGGAAGTTTTTCCTGACATTCGTTACATTAATCATTTGTAGGTTGACAAACTTTAATGTAGGCCTACTCATTAATAAGAAAATAACTAACCAAAATAAAAGTAGAAAGTAAATCAAATTTGAATTTTGTCGAGGCCACGCAAACCTGATCTGGTGCTGAGCCGACTAAAGCAGAAGAAAAAATATCGTTGCTCACAACTGAATGATGTCGACTTACAGGAGAATAGAATAATAATAAGGATTATTGAGGATTATGGAGAACGAGATGGAGCAGAAGAAAGACGGAGGGAAGCCTGCGAGATGAAAGGGGGAGAACAGTGAGGACGTGAGACAAAAGGACGGGACATAAGGACAAGCAGAGGACAACAGGAGAGGCGAGAGCAGGCTTTGATTTCCTCACGCTCTCACCAGCAGCTCATCTGCTACCCTGCGTCCGCTCAGACCAGTGGGGGGGGCGTGGGGGGGTAATTGGCCAGTGGAAGCAGGGAGCGGAGGTATTTCAGGCTGCCTGTATTCCAAATCCGGAAGTCAGCCACAACTTCATCAAGCCCCTCCTGTGCACTGTGCAGGGGGGGCAAGGTGGAGGAGAACAGAGGGTGGATGACTAAGCACACAGAGTAATGGAGACAGGAGGTGGGGCACAGAAAGGGAAAGTTGATTTGTGTAACTAAGTTTATATATATATTATTTTTACTAGGTCATCAATATGCTCAGTAATGACAAGGTGTTCAAAAACAACACAACGTTGTAGGTTTATGTTTCTGCCCGAAAATGTTCCCCACTAGCTGCGTCCACAGTCCATCCCAGCTGGGCTTGAATAATCCTGTTCTCTACTATATTCTAGATTCCTGTTATATGCTGTTGCAAAAAACAAAAATGGTAAAAACGTCCCATGAAAAGTTTCCGGAAAGTTTTTTGCCTTTGCAATGGTACATTCAAACCATCGCGCTCCATCCTACTCCGTCCATACTTCAATATGCCATTTCCTTCCACAGAGATGAACACACCCTTTAAACCACGTCTCTCCTCACCGATGTCAATTCAATAACCATGAGAATCTATTCAAGGGAAAGAAACCAATAGTAAACTCCAAGGAGGTAAAGCTCACACTTGGCTGGCCGCCACAATTAACTCTTGCCCCGACAAAGGATCAAAGACCCAAACAGCCCCAAAAATCTTTACCATAATAATTGTTATTGTTATGCCCCAAAGAGTCCAGAGAAGAGAAGCTGCACACGAGAAATTTGGTTTCATCCTCCTCGGTTGATTGACTTTCAATTCTCTAAGGATCAATTAAAGAGTCATTCACCGCTTTGGCTCAAAACCCCACATACATTAATATTGACTACTTTCCATTTATTATTTTCCTCACCCTGCTTGAGTTTTCCTTTCTCTGTAGCTCCCTCCATCTCTCCCCCAAGGCGAGTCGGGGGTGAATGGAGGGGAGTGTGGAATAAAAATCAGACACAATACGGGAGAGTTTTCGCCCCAAGAGGAAACAAATAGCAAAGAAATTGAGGTTTGTTTTTGTATCAATTATAAAAGCTTTCCTGGAACTGCCAGCATGGGACATAATTAGATTCCAGTTGAGTATACAGGTAACACAACGGTGTACACAGCTGGGTTGTCTGAATCCTGTAAGTAGCGCTGACAGAAATGGATATTAACGTCACAATGGTAGAATTCATTAAACTCAAACATGGCGCTGTTATTTTGCTAACCCCCTGCAGTTACCTCACATTGATATTTGCTTGTTGCCGTATGGTGGGCAATGGAGAACGCAATCAAGAGTGCAACGACGCCATCCGCGGGCCATTTGTCAAGAGCCCCGCCGCCTCTGACACCTCAGGCTGAGTCGCGATTCGTTTCTCCGTGGCGCGCTATAGCGAAGCCGGCGTGGCAGAGGTTCCCTCTGAGAAGCTTCCACGTCTTCAGCGAGCATTTCTTTCCACCTCATTGGATGCACTTTCACACTCTTAAAAGGAAGCTTCCCTGTGGAGGTTTTCAGCCGTTCGATGGTGGCAGTGGAGCTACAATATAAAGCTGAGCAGTTAAAATAATCACCAAGAAGCCCCTCTGAACACTGTTTCAGGCTTCATCTGCTCCGTCATTCACTGCCGTCTTGGCGCCATCACGCAGACATTTGGGGAATGTAGAGGACATCTCAATCTGTGCCTTCTGGGAGGACTCAATCTGCCTTTTCATCAGCTCTGATTCACTCAAAACTAAAAAAGACGAGTACGCACAGGAGGTCAGAATCTGCCACTTGCAAAAGTCTCACAGCGTTTTGGAGAAAAGAAGCCACTGCATAGTTTTTGACACAGTTTACCAAGAAATTACATTTTTTTGTCAAGATCTTCCTTTGCTATAGAGCGTTAGTGCCTTTTCAGGGCAGCAGGGATTGCACTATGGACAGTATTTATTTTGTATAATAACATCACCGGTCACCAATCCTCTGAAATAGAGTAGAACAATAAATGTTTTAATTGTCCTGTCTTATTGTTTGAGTGAAAAGTCACCCGAGCCTCCAACACGTTCTCAGGCGTCAGAGAAAGGACCAAAACGCACGTGAACTTGAGACCAACACGTGCACACGTTTGCAAGCTGTACATCTCTACTCGTAATATGGCAAAGGCAAACAATGTCGCACTGCAGTCTCCTCAGCTGGAAGTGAAGGGAATAAGAAATATTTACAGGACTGGACCAAATATCTGGAATGTTTTTAAACCTTTGGATCAATGTACACGGAGCTTTTCTGATACTTTAAATATCAAGTCATGGTTTTCTCCCAACTGCCCAATAAACAGCCACAAATACAACACAGGCTGCATTCGTTTGTCACTTGCAAACACTGCATTTCCACCTCTTCGTCAAGAAGTGAAAATATGATAAAAACATGGCGATAACACATTATTTGTGTATAATTTATTTGGATTTAGAAGCTGATTGCAAGCACGACCCCGAGTCAACCTGCTCTGCGTGTGCCAGATCTAATGTGTGGCTTTAGCGTTGAGCAACTGCAATTATTTGACCTTCCTCCTGCAGGTGGATTTGACTGAGCAGCATCTCACTTCACCGTCCCATGCTGCTCCACCCTGGAGCCCTCCGGCGCACGTCTCCCGACTTACTGACTCCGGGTTATTGGCTCAGTGGGCCGCTCACCTTCTCTCCCAGGGCCCGGAGGCTGTCCAGGAAGCGGGGCCAGAAGTCCTTGAAAAGAGGTCGGTCGATCTTCTTCAGACTGTCTTTGGTGCTGGCGTCCACGCTGACATACAGCTGGGTAACTGGAACCAGGCTCCTGGAAATGAGAGGAAGTAGTCGACACAAACAAAGTATTAGAATGATCCAGTTAGTGAGAGAAAGAGAGAGAGAGAGAGACGACAACCTGCTGTGAAGGGTAGAACAAAACCTCCTATTATGATTTTATAGTTTTAAAAAGACGGAAACAGAAATGAAAAAGCACCATTCAATTTCATCGAGCTGTTGCTGTACACTGAAAACCAAAGGGAGCGTATTGTCAGCTCTATGAAGCACGCAGTTCTCACGACTGACACATGATGGGAGTTCAAACACTACGGGGTCCTGCTCAAAGCAGCTGATGCACATCCAAATAATGGCTAAATGAGGAGCAGTGAAAAACAAGGCGCGTTTCTCCTCAACGTGTGGCACGACCAACAAGAAGCCCTTTCATGTGTTGAGAGGCAATTATGTAAAAGATAGAAAAACAAAACAAAATCAGCCAAATGAGTAATGAGACAGAAAGTGCGGCAGAGCAGCTCTTTTTACCTCCGCCGCACAAAGCCGCCCTGGAATGGAGCCGACATCCATCCAAGCCGGCTCTGAGGGAAGAGTCTTTGCCATGGACAATTCGCTAGTCAACCATCCTCCACTCAGCAGGGGTCAATTTGAGAGGACTGCTCAGCAGAGCATTCCACACATCCCTCTCCTCAGTAACCCCTCCACGGGCCCGCTATGGCCCCCTCTGGGCAGAGAACCCAGTCCCCCCCCCAGCCCCCCCAGGGAAAGAAGCTAAACGTGGCTTCTTGTATCCGCCGTCTCATGAGCACGGGTGAGGATCAGGACTTTGGCTAAGTGCTAAGGCGGGGTGGCCGCACTTTTTCCGGCTCGCAAGCTACTTTTCAACTGACCACGTGCATCTTGGCGATCTACTCCATGACATCCACACATTCTTGGTCATGACCTTACTGGACCTGTTGGGCACCGCTGTGCTGAGGAATCAAGAGGTTTTTTCTTTGCTCCCCTGCTCAGCTCCCTCTTCACCACAAACGTGACTGCTAATGCCAAACGGCAACCGCCGTGGTTCATTTTACCCTCACTAGGAAATCAAACGATACCTCGACACCCTCCTTAGGGACAGTGCCCCCCCAAGCGGTACGTGTGTCCGATCCCCTACTTTCCAAAAGAGAACCCACAGCCAAAAAGAAAGTTTGACGTACGTATGCTGTTGAAGCTTTTTGAAGCTGGATTTGACGGTCTTGCTAATTTCAGGTATCGAGTCAACAACTCCATTCAAAGCTGTTGCATTGTACCCTCCTCGTCAAAGGACACAGCTTCATAATTGCAGAGATTGAACCTTTGATCCTTGCTACTGAGACCCACTCCAACTCCATCCATCCATCCACACTTTGCTATTCACCCACACACCCTCCAGACTTCAAAGACCTTGAGAAGAGCCCATAATACACGACAGAGAAGTAAAGCATGGAATTGATATACATTTGCAAAGAAATGAGGACACAGACAAGTCGGGCATGTCTCTTTCTGCTTCTACCGGATTTCCTCAGGGAACTGTGCGTTGGTGACCAGGAAGCTGGAGACGCGGCGGCAGTGCAGGAGGCGGATGAAGGCGTTGATTTCGGGGTACATGATGGGCTCACCCACCAGGGAGAGGGCGCAGTGCCTGACGGCCAGGCCCTCCTCGTAGCGCTCGGGCTGCACTCCGGGGACACCTGGAGGGGAGAGAGGCCAAAGGGGGTCACTACAGGAGAGGCGGGGGGTGCACATGACAAATGAGCGGAGGGGAGAAGCGGTGGCAGTCCGTCGGGCTGGCAGCTCAGTGTCCTTTACTCCTTCTTCCCCCTACGTGGGACAACCCCTGGTTTATTAAACCATTTTAACCATTGACTTTCAACTTTGCAATGAAGGAATAACATTAAAACAAAAAATATTGATTTACTATTTTTTCATAGTGAGAGTTTAATACACAAGCAAAAGAGCATTGTCCCGACCTTAGATGTAAGAACCAAGGGTTGCTACCAAATCATTAGATTTCCTGACCCAATAAAATTACACTAACGGCGTGGAATCAAGTCTCAGCTTACAGTAAGTGCGCCAAAAGAAAACAATGTCCAATGGAAGAAAGTCTACACTCGGATCACAAACACAGGCCACCAAATGCGCGCGTGCGCGCACACACACACACACACACACACACACACACACACACACACACACACACACACACACACACACACACACACACACACACACACACACACACACACACACACACACACTTTACGCCGTCTGCCCCCTTCCGCCGGACCACGGCTAAATTGAAAAAGCCTGCCCTCATTTTTAACAACTGCACGCCTGTAACGTTTTGGGGCTTCGTCTTCAAGATGCTGGCAAAAATGAAATAAAACACTCTGCTGCAACGACAAACAGACTCTCAAGAGGAGAACAAATGCAAACTAACACACAAAATGCCACCAGCTAGATTAATCAACATAACCACCTGGGACATGAAAACGAGCCAAAGATGGGATGTGAAGCTGTATTTGAATATTCAGACAGTATCTCCATTATAGTACAGATACAGTAAACAGCCAAACAGACCATCTTTCTGCTAACAAATGAAGCCGGAGATGTTCTGGCATAAAGTTGGAGACAGTGAATTAACAAATAGTGAAAGCTCAGGGAGAAACACTTCCTTCCGTCATGGGTATTTAATGCAATATTGCTGTAGCTGCAGCAGACGGCATTTCATTTAAGAGCACATGTGGTGAATCTTAATTACATTTAAACAGAAACTGTTTTTTCACATGCTTTATAAGCCCTCTGTGAATTAGTGATTCAGCATGTTGTGCGTCTGCTAACGTGTTGCCTTTCAAGGGCAAATCACACTTTGCAACAGATGCAAAAACAAAAGGGCAGAGAACTACTTCAGAAGACCGCTGGACTTTGTCTTTGTGGTCTTCTGAGTCGACATCAGTGACGCTGATTAAGGCGTCGCCAAGGGGCCGTTCTCGTCCCTGTTGAATTGGTTTTCTCACTTGTTACCGGACACACCGAGCTCTTCCGTCTGGCGTCTACTCAACGTATTCTGGAGGTAACACACAGAAGCAGAAGAAACTAGACTAGGCAGGGAAAGCTAGAGCTTCTTCCTGCTCATATACGCATATGTGCCCACATAAAGTAAGCTTGTGTGCCTTTCAGCGCTTTGCTCACACTCTGTTCCAGCTAAAGAGCATCTAACTACTATGTGATACAACTAGCTACCACTGTATCATACCGGTACAGTTTGGAGACGCTGTGGCTGTCGTTGCAGATCAAGCAATAGGATGAATTGAAAAGGTGGGCGATGATGCTGAATTCTGGTCCAAATTACTTAAATGAACCGTATTTAGTTACCATGACCGGAGCAAAAACAGCCAACCTGGAGGAAATGAATATGCTATGAGAATTGCAGGGCTTTGCTGTTATATATTCAAACTGCACCCATCGGGTTGTCAGGACACCAACTTGCTTGATGACGCTGTGGCTTTTCAGAGGCATCAGCTGGACTGTTCATTGCACGACACATGAAAAAGAAAAATACGCATCACCGCCAGCGGTAAATGGAGTTGAAAGCTGCCTGATGGGATTTTGTGGAGCAACTGGAAAGAAAATTCTGGATGATAATGACAATACAGGCTTGCTCTAGTTAGACTTTTAAAGGGCAGCATCTGAAAATGTGATTTTCTTTTTCCCCACAGACAAACGTGGAAGCTGTAAATCTCTGCTGTGACTTTTCTTTCCTTTAAGTGACCTAAAAACCAGTAAACCAGCTTACTGTCAACAGAAGCATATGTGCACTATTGGTCTATATTAATAACATCAAGAAATTGCATTTTCCATGACGACGTTCATATAACACATTATAAATAACTGCGCTGAGAATGATATCGTTTGCAGAGTTTGTGAGTTAAGGTGTTCCCGTTACGAGGTAAATCTCTAAAGTGTTGCTACCGACCAAGGACAGAATCATCTGACAGAATCATCTGACCGACTTACTTCTTTTGATTCCTTAGAACCTAATTGACTGACTTTTGAACAAACAATGAACAAGGAAGGACTTGAACTTAAAGGGAATTGATCTTACTGAACCTACTGAATGAACACTGGGACAATTCAAGGATCCGTTTACTATTTCAACAGAACAGGGCTGATAATATGTCGATAAGAGCATAGTCAGTGTTGTGCAGGATTTTAATTGAAAATGTTTTACTGTGTTTATACGGTTCAAAATAATCTTTGAAATCAAAACCATCAGTGGCACCATTTCCTTTGTGTGTGTCAAATTCTTAGTCGCCACAGTTTGCCCCGTTGGCTCTGCTGGTACTGTTGTTATGCTGAGAGGCAATCAAGTGGCTCCCAATCATGTATACACCACCTTTAAATGATGTACTGAAAACAAATCAATGGATTCATCTATAAAAGAACCATGAACGGTAGCTGAGCAACAACCTTATTAAAAACCTTTATATCACTTTGACAACGTTTCCAAAATAACGATTAGAAAACCTACTTAGGAATCACTCAGAGGGCGATCAGTAAACTCTGTTCTGACTGAGCTTTGGGCGTCCAACTTAGCTTTCCTGAGCCAAAACTCACAGCAGCCCCAAAGGCCATCAGTGCAATTTCACGCAAGTATTAACTGAGCCCGACAGAACAAGTGAATGAGGGACAAACAGACGGCCTGAGGAGAGGACGCTTCCACAACGACAAACCTCTGAACTGTCGAATCATGCTCTGGTGCTTCTCCGTGGCGTCTTGCAGGATCTTCTCAGCGGGGTCCATCTTCCAGCGCCACTCGGTGCCCACAGGGTTGGTGTGATGTCTGTTGGTGGGTGGTGCAGAGAAGGCAAAACAGATGAGATAACCGACGCTACTTCGCCACCTGTTCGATGTCGCCACCCGTCTTTTGAAAAGACAGTTGTCTCCGTGTGTGCGTCCACAACTGACACGATCCACCAGTCTGATAAAAAAACAGCAGATGGACATATTCTATTTACTGTATATTTGTCATAATAAAAGCTTCCTGCTCCTAAAGGATTAATGGAACCTTCGGCTCATCGGGTAATCAGCGCCGCTCTCCGCCCGCTATAACGCACATTGTGGCCATTTAAACGCGCACTTGATTGGACCTCAGCCAAAGTCAAAAACCAAGTGACACCGAAGTTGATGTGTTATTTGGTAAATGTTTGGGTGGGGAAATGTATGTATTGACTAGTGCGCTGCAGCAAAGTGTTAAGTGCTGTGAGTGCAGACTGATGTTCTCACTGCTGATGATGACCGTTTGAGAGGCTCCTGATGCCAGAAAATGTAATAGAGCGAGGAGTTTAACAACAGCTGGAATGGAATGTGAACGCTGAGTCGGAGATTCAATGTCATTCATTTCTTCCAGTATTTGTAATATTAATATATAATATTGGTTAATCTGTAACGCGTAATGATGATGATGTCATGATGTCAACAAAAAATACTCGAGGCAGAATCAACTGACAGACATATACAATATGCCTCTGATGCAGAAGAATGTATGGCAATGAGCACCTTTCTAACAACGCCAATAATTATCTTTAATTTCGCCCCGTATTAAAAAAAAAAAAAAGAAAAAAAAGAAAAACGCTGTACTGTAAAAGCAAACGGCACCGCCAATGGGTGTGATTGACACCTTCCCGACTGTAAGTGGGATGTAGAGGTGCAACAAGAAATCCTGAGGGCGTCACAAATTTCAAACCGTCTGTTGCGCGCACACGCGCACACACCAAAAACCACACGGATACTGGACAGCCGTTGCTACAAAGTACAAAGTACTACAGAGTAGTCTGGCGAGATGACGGCTGTGCTCTGAACTTTGATTACTTTCCTGTCGTGTCGCAAAGCCGTCTTAATAGGAGACTGGCGTAACCGCGGCAACCTTTTCGATGCACAATGTTTCACAGGGACCTGGGGGGAGGGGAAAAGCCTCCGCCGCTCGCCGCTGTCACGATGTATCAGTGTCCACTTATTGGCCTCGCGGTTCTGCCAGCCGCTGGTCATCAGCGTCAACCGGCTCGCCAGGTAAGGGCTCGTTGCTCGACGTGCAATTCATCTTGAATAACGATGTAAACAAGTTGCCATTATAGTGTAACGCTATTGAACCTTGAAGGCGAACGATCTAATGCAGTTTATCGGCCGTCTTAATTCACGCAGCGTTCGTAGCAAATTAGTCTCACTTTATAGTCATGAATCAGTCAGCTTTGTGCAACAGATGCATCTGACCTCTGACTAATAGTTTGATTTGAGTCAGAATACTTGTACCCCGTACAAGTACCGCTTGGAAAATTGACAAAAAGCGATGTCAAGAGATATCCGAAATGTCCCTCTGCTTATACTTATAAATATGTCAACATAATGTTGAACAACAGTTTTGTTGTGTTCAGATTCTATTGTATAAATGAGCACAGATTTAATGAGAATATCTTGTTTGTATATTTCCACATCCATTTTCCAAGCACCCGCTGATTCCATCCGTTGATCAGCGGGTGCTTGGCTGAAATAATATTGCAAAAGGAGTTACTGCTGCAGGCGCTTACCTCCAGCAGAAGACACACTTGTTGGCACAGGCGAGGCTGGGGGTGGTCTCCATGCAGCGGTGGGACTCGATGCCGTAGAACGTGTGCTTGTAACAGCCGCCTCTCCCTCGCAGCATGGACTGATGGACAGGAAACAAAACCGTTGGTGGCTTTCATGCATTTGGTTGAAAAAAATAAAAAACGCAGCAAACCGCTCGGCGTGTGGAGTCAGCGTCCCGTTACCTTGGTCCATCGGCACAGCTTCACTCCGGAGTGACTGCCGATGAGTTTGTACCCTGTGGGAGAGATGGAAGAAAGAAGGACCAGTGAACACCTCGCCGACCCAGAGCCTCGTGGGCCAAAGATTCAGCCGACAATTAACACATTTCACATTTTAACATGAACTCGTGATGCAGCTCAAGGGCACGTCGGCAGCAGGGAGGACAGCATGGCGTGTCCTTTTAAAGTACCCCCCAGGTGTGCCTCACTATCCTCTCACACCCCCGGCTGTGAAGGGCCACGCGCGGTGTCTCGGCTCCGGTTTCTTCCACACGGCCTCCTCTGTGATGTTTATCAAAGAGAAAAGCTTCACCTGGAACGCTTAATCTGCTTATTAAATATGGGAGCATGCTGAGGGGACGGCGTCCAGGGGAATCAAGCAGAGCATGAAAGACCCAAACGGTTCCAGTCAAGTCAAGCAGCAAAGGAACAGAGTTGACTCAGGTGGGAGCGCGGCTTATTTTCACACCTTTTACCGTTACATCCCTGTGGCTGATCCACCTAATCAAAAGGATATTCGTGTGGCGGTTTGATGATAGATGAGTGAAATACTCAATTATTCATCAAGGCCGAGTGGTGAAAATATTCATTTGTGATACACCAGCTGAATGAGCAATTCTACCTTTCATCGCTGGTGTTATTTTGGGAATTAGAACTACCTCACACACAAACGCTTTTTCGGTTTGTGGTGCATTTCCTCTTTGGGTCGAAAAACGTTGGTGACCCGCGGCAAATTGTACATCTCCCCGACTAAGCCTGCTCGCAGCGGCTGCAAGACACGTTGAAAAATACAAACTCCTGAGCGAACACGGCTGTGGAAACCAAGGTGTGGAACTGGACCGCAGGCGGCTTCGTTAAGCATCGTCTCTCCTGTGTGTTTGTTTGGGGGAAAATTGATTTCCAATGCGCCCGTCGATGAGGCAACGGGAGAGGCTTGGGCCAAGGTGAGGGGGATGAAAGACGAAGATAAATAACGTACCATCTCCCCTTTCAATGTTGTCGCTGAGAATACGACGTCTGCTGAAAACTTTTGGCAAGATATCAATATTTAAGAAAAAAGGAGGTTGGGGGGGGGCTGGAGGGGATCAGGTTCACCAGGAGGCACCGTAACAGCCGGTGTGGAAAAAGGAGTTTCTGTTTTCCATAGAAGACAGTAAAGCCAGACATAATTAGACTCCGAGCATGCAAGGTTGTAGATCTCTGGAGACAGAAGAGTGCCACACGAAAGGCCCACAAAGAGGTAGTGCAGGGGCACTACCAGTGGGACAAAGCGCTCGTGTGTGTGCGTGTGTGTGTGTGTGTGTGTGTGCGCGCGCGCTGGGAGACAGAACCGGGGGCAGCGTGATCGGGTCAACGGACAAGAATGAGGGAACCAAGCCGGCGTCAACACACATGAAAGGGTGAAGGATGAGGAACAAAACAATGAAAAAGCCCCACAACACCACAGAAGGGTTAAAACGGCATCCAAAAAAAAGAAAGCCACTACATTCAGATTAGTTCATCTTTTGAGTGCAGGTGTTTGTTTTTTTGTCATATTTAAAGATATTCCAATGTGTTCCTGGGACGTGGCGGATGGACAGCGGCAAAGATAATCCCGCTGAAACGGATTGAAAGGCCGTTTGTTACTCATCAGCTTCCATCGACTGCATTAGTGACCAGCTGCTCGCGACCCTCTTTCCAGAGGACCTCAATTTGCCACTTAGACAAGGTAAGCTGCTGCTCGAAACAGCTGCGGAATAGAAGCGAGTCCTTACCCGCCGGCGTTCCATTGCTTTTGAACAATACGCAGTACACAGCGACCCGTTTTTTGGCAACTCAGTAAACAATTCAGACTTTGATGCTCTGTCCTCCACTCCGAGCTGCCCGAGGGAAACAGAACGAGCAGGGAGGGACTGCGTTTCATCAAAGAGGGGGACATCTAATTTGTTTGGAGAGGTCTGCAGCTTCGTTTTGTCTCACAGGGACTAGTTTCCCCCACTCCTCCAAAAAAAAGTGATCAAAACGAGGAGATCACATGTCTTTAAATCATTAAACCGAACCAGCCAAAGAGTAGACCGGTCAGTGTATGCAGGTGACCCCTTTGCCAGGATGGACTGCATGGTGTTCATTACATTAGAATGACTGGGACAATGCACATTTCTGTTAACCGAGGAGTCAGTTCCATTTATTAGCCAGTGGCGGAAAATAGTTTAAAACTGACAAACATTTTGTTTGTTGCCATTATCTCTGAAACAATATATATATATATATATATATATACGGTAATTTAACAAAAGTAGTGATTGTGAAAGGTGTTTAGTGTCATCATGATGACACTATCACCTTTCACAATCATCTGTTGACATGATTTAGTTTCATGTTAAAGTTAATTTTGATATCAAACTCTTCATCATAACAAATACAAATTAAAAAGATAGAATGTACCGATATACACATCTGAATCCCAGCAGCAAGTGTCCTTAAATGTGCAGCCTTGAGTTCACATGTTCTTGGACATTACGACGACGAGTTTCAACGACTTCCGTTTTCATGCCAGGAAAGAAAAAGCCATACGGGAAAAACAGCCCAATATCACAAAAACAAAGCCAACGCTTTCATCACTCATTCTTTTATTGCACATGAGACGAACCGTCGAACCGAGGCCCGCTGGTTGCCAACATGAAGCAACATTTGGTCCGATGGAGAGAGGTCTCGCTCACAGAGTTCTATTTATAGAGAGTAGGGCGAGCCGGCCGTGGGGCTGAACTGGTGACCAGAGTAGAGATAGTGAAACGCTTCAGACGGAACTAATGAGACTAACGCCTGCACAGAAAACACGTGGACACACTTCATGTGGCTTCACTTACTAAGACACAAAAGGTGCAATGTCATGAATGCTGAGCCACACTCAACACTTCAGATGACTACAATACACCTAAACTTTTCAAACAGGTGACTGTGTTTTAAAGGTTTTTACATTATTTCCACCACATAATCTCAATCCAATCTAACTTCTACTATAAACAGAATGGGTTGAGTGATATTGCCTGTAGGTTTGGTTATCAGTGTGCGTGTGTAACCAGAGTTCTGTGAGTTAATGCCTCCATGAAACAAGCAAAACGAATTGTTTTGAGGCCTGATCCATAACACTCCATTCCAGTAAGAGGTGACTAAAGTACGGACCACCACACAACGTCAGATCGCTTTCTCCCACCAGCGTATTAGCAAGAAAATAATTCTCAGCCTTGGCTGTCCAACCGCTCTCATAGGCAGTAAATATTCTCTGCAAAAATGTATCTACATGAACTTCCCTCCTGGATATTTGTGTAAGATTTAATCGTAACATCTGAAAAACTGGCATGACTCCTAACTCGTGTTTTGAAATGAATTACAACTTTGCTACCTTTTTACTGTGGAGTGCAGCTAGATAATATAAATATATTACACCGTATCTGGTGACCTCAGCGGATGTTCTTTTGTAAATGGCCAAAAGGTTATTCACTGCTGTCAAATAGTCACACTCACATACAACTCATTATTTGCATTTCCTGGAAACTCTACTTAAAGAACAACACAATAAAAAATGCAAACCTCTATTTTCCTCACCTTGTTTGGTCAGAGCTTCTCTCAGGGCAGGGGTGATCATCTCTCTTCTTTCCCCCTCATCTTCAATCGTCTTCACTCCGTTCACTTTAGACAGCTTCACCATCTGGCTCTGGTCTCCTTGACCCGCTTTGCTCTGTGGAGACACAAAACTCGTTATATTCCCGTGACGGCATCGCAACCGGCACGAATAATCATAACTGAATAAACTGTGAACCTGAAGAACAAAAGAATGTGTTTCAGCAAACTAAAAAATAGGAGATATGTTGTTTAAATATGCAAATGAGGCATTCTCTTGTGCTTATATGCAAACGTTCAGCGAACCTGGGGGGAAATCAACAGGACCAAATAGACAAAGCGGTTAAATAAACAGTTGAATGTGTATTTCGGATGCTTTCTTTCCACCAGTCCGGAAAAAAATATGATAACTAAGCAAAATGACTGTAGTGTCTCGGCTTGACTGACAAGAACCGTAGTTCCTATCCACCTTTGTCACGCATAACAAAAACATTGAGGAATCCCCGGTGAACCAGCCTTACCTCACCTGTAGGGGAAAAAATGAATACAGTGGTAGTCGTGAAACGTTACAATCAGCAGCGACAGAGAGCGCTGATGGAAAAAAGAGATCACAAGAGAACACGGCTCAGTACAGTGATCCTTTTAAACTGTGACAGTAGAAACAGCGTCTTTAAACAACCCGTCAGAATATGTTGCATCTTGCTTGCCACATGATTTGATGCTCACCACTTTCAAGTCGAAAGGAGCTCCACCAAAGTGTTTGATGTAGGATTTGACTGAAGATCAAGGGTTGAGATTATCCCGTCCTTGTGTAACTTCATGTGCCACATAACCACTGAATGACACAATACGTGAACAAACGGGACATCGCCCTTTGGGTATCTGAGTCAGGATCAAGTCTTCATGTCACAGTTACATCATTGCAGTATGAGGCATTTACACGTAAATATTACTTCACTAGGCTAAAGAAGTTCAACCTGCCAAAAACAATGATCATGTACTTCTACCCCGCCATCGCCATCTGGTACACTGCAGCCACTGCCAAGGACCAGGGTAGACTAAAGAACACCATTCACTCTGTTGAGAAGGTGATTGGCTGCAATCTGCATCCAGTCCACAACCAGTAAATCCCGCAGAGAGATTGTATCCGCCCCCGAGTCCACGGCCAAGACCGCACACCCCTATGTCATCAAAGTAGGCCTTGACACAAAGGTTTGGGTACCACTGGTTCAGGGGATACTTGGAAAGAAGAAAAAAAAAAAAGGAGGGAGCAAAACCACTCAAACCGATGCTGTGGACCAGACTCGATCCCAGTTAGCAGTCACTCAACCAAGTAGTCGGTGTGGGGAAGCGTCTGCCTGCATCAGCAGAAGGGTGTTGCTTAAACAGCAGGAATCGAAACATGGGGGCGAGGGGGGGATTCTGTAGCCTGAAACACAAACCTCCCAATAGGGGATTCTGACAGCAGACGTGAAGTGAGCGGTGCAACAAGCTGCTCCCGCGTTATTGGTGTGCAGCGCTCGACCCCCTCCACCTCCCGGCCAGTCGCCTGGGTTTTAATGCTGAAAGACTTATTCCCAATAAACTAAAGCGCAAATGTCCGATAAAAGATTTTACATGATTCTGTAGGGGGGGGGAAAACTTGTGAATCTGTCGGTTAAATCCACTCATCAATTAGCGAAAAAAATGCAGAGGAGAGTTACCAAACCCATTTAGTGGATCAAGGACAGCAATAAAATCAATAACAAACGGTACATTTCTTAAACAGCGAGTGTGTGCTAGAGCGTCCGCGTACCCTCAGTTTATCTGGACTTGTTGGGACTCACCGCGGACGTACGGGTCCTGTTGGGTTTCTGCAAGCTGCCACTTAACCACAAAAGGCTCTTTGAGTTCATATCTGTATTCATTATGCAATTTAATTAAAATAATAAGTGTATCAAATTAAACAAGTTAAATCATGTGGAAAAGGCAAAGTCAGTATCGTGCCTGGAGGACGGTATAACTGAAATATTATGTTATCAGTACCTGACTAAGAAGCTACTTTAATTGTCAGATATTTAGCATAAAATTAGCTTACAAGACTCCTATCATTTTACACTGGATGAGGCCCTTTCAGTCAGTAGTTCATCTCGGCTTCCTCCCTCTGGACACGGAGCTGAACACATGAAAACCGAAGAAGCGCCTGGTGGCTCGGCTGATGATCCGATCCAATAACTCTCATCTGGCAGCAGGAAGTGGAGCACTCTGGCAGAAACAGACACCTAATGGGGCAACGTAAGAAATGATGCTGGTCGGCACTTGGCGGAGGCCGAGTACAAATGCAGCCACAGACTGCGAGCGACTGGTTGAGAAATAGGAAATATGAAACAAATATGTACCCTTGTCATGTTTAGCAGTAACACGGTAACAGGGTCATACTCATACCTGATCAAGTTAAAGAACTCACTTAATTGTTTTCTGAAATTTCAACATTTAATGCCAGACTTATTGAAGTAAATCTTAAGAGGATACATTTTATCTGTGTCTGTAAGGAGGTTAAGAAGATGGAGACGGGACTGAAGGAACTAAGTCTCAGAGCCTTGTGATTGGATATGAATAAATGCGTGCAGTAAATAGAAATATGAGGTTTGCTGCAACACTCATATTTTCATGCATTCTGTGTGTAACACGCAAACAAATATAATGCATTATGGCCATTTACAAAAAGCAACTGAGCCAACTTCTAAACTACTGAATTTGATAAGAGATCTGAATAACGCAGCCGAGTAGGGAACGCATAGTACTTTCTGAAAGCTAGAATGCAGTGAAGCTCAGCAACACACACACACACACACGCACAAGCACACACACGCGTCGAATCCTCCAATGGGTTTTTTTCTGAGAACCTTTTTTAAAAAAGGTTTTCGCTATAATTCGGCCAGAGCAAAGTGAATGAGCATTTAAACATTTGCCCGCCGTTCCCGCATCACTTCAAAACTACTTTAATGAGTAAATAAGACATATTGAAAGCATAACGGTATGTTCAATATTTCAGACTAAATGAGACCACATCAATGTATTTAGTCACAGTTAAACCCCATTGGCATCCCATTTATTTTCTCTCATCAGTAAAACAGATAAAATGCACGGTAGCCATTCAACTATCCATTCCATCCGTCTTCAGCAGCTTAACCTTCATAAAGGGTCACGGGGGGGGGGTTACACCCTGGATTGGACACCAGTCAATCACAGAACCCACACAGATGCAAACAACCATTCACACTCAGTCACATCCACACACCGACGGGCAATTTAGAGTCACCAATCAACCTGATCCCCAGAACACGTCTGGAGGGAACCGGAGTACCCGGAGTGAACCCACACAGACAGAACATGCAGACTCCACACAGAAAGGCCGCTGGGTGGAGTGAAACCCAGAACCTTCTAGCTGGGAGGCGACAGTGCTAACCATATAACATATAATTCATATTCGATTTAATGCTTCACATCAAACATCCAGGCTCCCTCGTATGCCTCAAAGCTGAACTTCAGATATGAAAGACTACAGAGGACGGTTTTCTGACGACCCTAAAACAATAATTACTATAAAGACATAGTGACGGAAAAGAACACTAAACTGGCAATCACGAATCATACTGATGTGGAAATGATATTGCATTACACTCCAAACCCTCAGCGAGAAATGATCATGGCCAACGGACTCAACGAGACGGCAGCGAGGCGTTGAAGTGAGACGTGAGTCTCTGCCATCACCTAGTGGTCAAACACAAACAAAGAGCACCTACCTGCAGCTCCACAGTAACACACATCATAACCAGCCTGCATTAGAAATAAGCAGAAGACCCTGCAACAGTCCGCTCATTAAGGGTAAATTAATCTGTAAATTAGCTCACTAACATATTGGAGTCTGGGGAATTTCCTTGTTCGCACTCAATTTGCAGCCCGGCTAAATACTTGTCGTCTCTCGGCAAACAATCAATCTGCAAACTAATTACACCTCGCGCCGCCAGCTCTGTGTGACCAAATTATAAAGAAAAGAAACACTAATCTGTTACCACGGAAATGCGCGCGGCTCATTCGTCAGCCTGGCATCCGAGCGCGGCGTTACGAGGCGACCCACGGGAGCAAATTGGCGTGAGGTGAAATGTGCGCTTGCCCATTGCAAGAATCGATAGGTTTGTCCTCAGGGAAAAGGACGAGGGGAAGAAAGAAGGATTGAATGAATCAAACCATTTGTTAAAGTTTAAAAAGTAGATGGCTGCTTCCACGGCAGCAGATGGAGGTGAGAGGTTGAGTCGTTAAATGAGGACACACGTTGATGTGGGACCTCCAGCTGGGCCTCTCACACACCATTACTACAGTGAAACATGTGGTAGTAGCATCATGCTGTGGAGATGCTTCTCTTCAGCAGGTACAGGGAACAGTCTCCATCCAATCTGACAGCGCTTCACAGTAATTGGGTGAACATTTGCACATCTACATGTGCAAAGCTGGTGGAAACAGACCCCAAAAGACTTTTGGCGAAAAGGGGGTTCTACCAGGTATTATTAGTAATGCAAGTCACTGTGAAAAGGAATAATAAACATTACATTACATTACATTACATGTCATTTAGCTGACGCTTTTATCCAAAGCGACGTACAATAAGTGCATTCAACCATAGGGTACAAACTCAGGAGAACAAGAAACAAGAAAGTGCAATTTCCTCAAAAATAAGCGAATTTACAATTTGCTATAGATGAGTGACGTCACAAGTACAATTTAAGTGCTACAATTTGTTAGTCTTTAGTCGAGGTAGAGTCTGAAGAGGTGTGTCTTTAGTTTGCGGCGGAAGATGTGAAGGCTCTCTGCGGTCCTGATGTCTTCAGAGAGCGCGTTCCACCATTTCGGCGCAAGGACAGCGAAGAGTCGAGACCTAGTCGAGTGTTTTGCTCTCAGTGAGGGAGGGACGAGTAGTTTTGCAGATGCAGAGCGGAGAGTGCGGGTTTGGGATGTAGGGTTTGACCATGTCCTGGATGTAAGCTGGACCCGATCCATTCACAGCATGGTACGTGAGCACCAGTGTTTTGAACTGGATGCGGGCGGCCACCGGTAGCCAGTGAAGAGAGCGGAGGAGTGGAGTAGTGTGGGAGAATTTCGGAAGGTTGAAGACCAGTCGAGCTGCTGCATTCTGAATGAGCTGCAGAGGTCGAATGGCGGTGGCAGGGAGACCTGCCAGGAGGGAGTTGCAGTAGTCCAGGCGGGAGATGACAAGAGCCTGAATCAGTACCTGCGCTGCCTTCTGAGTGAGAAGGGGACGTATTCTCCTGATGTTGTAGAGCGTGTATCTACAGGATCGCGTTGTCGCAGTGATGTTGGGAGTCAGGGAGAGTTGGCTGTCGAGTGTGACGCCGAGGTTCTTAGCAGTCGAAGTGGGCGTTAGCACAGAGTTTCCAAAGTTGACTGTCAGGTCCTGGGTAAGCGAGTCTATTCCGGGAAAGAGAAGTAGTTCAGTCTTGTCGGGGTTGATTTTCAGATGGTGGGCGGACATCCACTGAGAGATGTCAGTTAGACAGGCAGAGATCCGAGCCGCCACCTGGGTGTCCGAGTGAGGGAAGGAGAGAATTAGTTGGGTGTCATCGGCATAGCTGTGGTAAGAGAAGCCATGCGAGCGAATGACAGCGCCAAGAGAGTTGGTGTAAAGCGAAAACAGGAGGGGACCCAGCACGGAACCCTGAGGAACTCCAGTAGTAAGAGGACACGGTTCCGACACAGATCCTCGCCAGGTTACCCGGTAGGTGCGGCCATCGAGGTAGGACGAGAGAAGGGAGAGAGCAGAGCCTGTGACACCAAGTTCCTGAAGGGAGGAAATAAGGATCTGGTGGTTGACCGTGTCAAATGCAGCAGAGAGGTCCAGAAGGATGAGGACAGAGGAGAGAGAGGCGGCTCTAGCAGTGTGGAGTTGCTCAGAGACAGCAAGGAGAGCAGTCTCTGTAGAGTGGCCTGCCTTGAAACCTGACTGGTGGGGGTCAAGGAGGTTGTTACAGTGGAGATAAGAGGAGAGTTGATTAAAGATAGCACGTTCAAGGGTTTTGGACAAGAAGGGAAGAAGAGAGACCGGTCTGTAGTTGTTTTCTTCAGAAGGGTTGAGGGTGGGTTTCTTCAGGAGAGGGTTGACTCTTGCCTCCTTCAGAGAATTGGGAAAACAGCCAGATGACAGAGCGTTGTTGATGAGAAAGGTAAGGAACGGAAGAAGGTCAGGTGCGATAGATTGTAGAAGATGTGATGGAATGGGGTCAAGAGGGCAGGTGGTCGGACGGGCAGAGGTTACTAGGGTAAGAATTTGGTTAGGAGAGAGGGCGGTGAAAGAGGGAAGTGAGGGCGAAAGAGGTGAGGTCGGTGGGACGCGAGAAGTAGGTGGTGGGTTTGAGAAGGAGGAGCGTATGTCAGCTATTTTCTTGGTGAAGTAGTTGACAAAGTCTCCCGGAAGAAGGGTGGAGGGGGGAGGAGGGGTAGAGGGTTCGAGGAGATTGGAGAAGATCGAGAAGAGTTTTTTGGGGTTAGAGAATGAGGATTCGATTTTGGACTGGTAGAAAGAGCTTTTGGCAGCAGAGATAGAGGCAGAGAACGAGGAGAGGAGAGATTGAAATTCAAGCAGGTCGTCAGGTCGTTTATATTTACGCCATCTCCTTTCCGACGCTCGCATGGTGGCTCTCATGGCACGGACCGGTTGAGACAGCCACGGAGCCGGAGGGGATTTGCCAGTCCGTCGTGTCGTAAGAGGGCAGAGAGAGTCTAGAGAGGAGGAAAGAGTTGAGAGGAGAGTCTCTGCAGCAGCGTTCGGATGCAAGAGTGAGAAGGAGTCAGTTGAAGGGAGAGCTGATAGAACAGAGGATGCCAGCGAGGAGGGAGAGAGGGAGCGAATATTGCGACGAGCCGGTATAGAGTTAGTCAATGAGGGAGGTTTGTTAGTTATAGAGAGTGGAAGGGAGTAAGAGATGAAGAAGTGATCAGACACATGAAGTGGAGTTACAGAGAGGTTAGTGGTAGAGCAGTTTCTAGTAAAGATGTAGTCAAGGTGATTGCCGGCTTTGTGAACAAGACAATTGTGTCTGGAAAATCTGATATTACGCCCTCTTTTCTCCATTGATTCTGATTTTTACTTCCATATTCATCAGTTTATTTCCTGCTTTGTGCTGTAGCGACATCTGATTTTTTTTTCTTATCTGGTGACCAATAAAGTCTTATCACATCTTCTCACATTTAATCACATTGTATCTCACCATATCACATTTTATCTCATTTTTTTACTGTATCTTATCACTCGCCGTTAAAGCAGGACAAAGGGCAGGTAGACATATGTATTTAAAAGTAGACAGTGGCTTAAAGTAACAGAACATTCATTTCATCTCGGATTAAAAGGAGCTTTTTTCCTATCTCGCTGTTTTTGTGCCAACTCATATTTAATACCAATCACAGGAACGAGCAGGAATGAAGATGCACTAAACTATCATAATATAAAAAGTCATAATATGAACAGTCTCTTGGCAGTGATCTTAAACAGTAGCCATAACAAAAACATCTTTCATTGCATTAATTAGCAAGCCTGAAGTAAACACAGGCGCTCTCTCTGGAAGGCCTTTCTGGGGACCGACGGTGTTTGTACTGATTTTATTTTCCCCACAAAGACCTGCGGCTGAAAGCATATTTAATACCTACAAGTAACCCAATCCCCTCAGTCCTCTCGCTGAATATGGAAGAGGCTGACGGGGCCTCTTCGTTCTTCTTACCGCTTTCTTTTGAGTCACTCGCTCCTCACAAGACAGTGAGGTGGGCGTCCTTGCTCCCAACGAGCCGCCGCTTCGCGCCCGCCGAGGGGTCTGGTGTCTATCAACCCATCTGCCACTGCGACACCACCTTCTCTCCTCGCTCAGATGGAGCCGAGGTGGTGGAAGCTCGCTAACTCGCTGGTGCCCGATCGTAGAGCTCAGTGCGGAAACGCTGAAAATAAACCTACTGGAGGGCGCCTGCAGCTCCAGTTTAAGATGATTCAACACCCTCCCTGCGATAACGTGGCGCAGGCGGCTAGGTACCGCAAACCAGTACAGGTCTCGCTTTTGAATCCTTACTTTCATGGGCATATTTCTCTTTGGGGGGTTCGGCTAACAGCTGTAGAGGCTTGTATATCACAGGGAGATAAAAGAAAAAAGGGTGTTGTTGCTGCGGACAGGATCTGACCTTTGCCCTCTTGGCACGGCTCATGATGTTCCCCAAATCCTCCATGTCAATCACTGAACCAGACTTCTTCCCAGCTCCTGGGCCAGACTCCTCCTCGTCACTGCTGGACTCGACCGGGTCCGCCTGAAACAAGAAACATATACCCCATTTACCTGTCTGCAGTGACAGTTATTCACATCTTAGTCTGCGTTTCTGCTGTACCCTGCATGCGCTACCATGTGACACAGTAATACGAAAAACTGACCACAGGTGGTCATGCAAACCACATCAAGGTTTGTGTGACCCGGAACGTGACCAACAACATGCAGATGTCCCGGTATTCAGAGGACCACCTGTGCATGCTGACTGAGCTTTTGTTCATCCCACATGGGAGTAAATGCGTGAGCGGTTCAGCAGGTAGATACATCAGGATGATGCTCCCCTCGATTCAGACCGCAGCTACTCTTAGTTCCGGTTCAGCGGCGCTGCGGATGGAGAGAGGAAGCGTTGCTGCTATGACAACCGGTCATCTGCGTGTGCGCACTGGGATGCATATGGGAGCTGTTACCAGCAGGCGACAGAAACCACGAGGCGCCGCTTCCCTCGAGGGAAGAAGTGTCTCGCCTGATGGACAACTTTGACATGTGGACAGGAGGAGGTGGGGATCAAAGCGAGTTTGCCACCAGGGGACAACTGCCTCGGACTGTCGTGTCAAAACGGGTTATTCCAGTGATTAGATGAGAGAGAAATTAAAAAAAAGGAACCATTTTCATAAATTCCTAAATAGATTGGAAATGGCACTGCAAAAGAAGTGCAGCGTCCGCGACGGCCGACTTCATCATCCCGTCAGACTTCGACAGACTGACGATGTGCAACCATCACCATTTTGTCTGTTGTCTCATGTCTGTTAACTTTGGCAGCCACTTAAACTGCGTCGAGCTCATCCTGTTCTTCAGGTAATACAAAATGTGTCTGCTCGTGCGTACGTACACACACAGACCCGCATTAACGAAATGCAAATTCACCTGCATGCAAGAGAATTGTTTCGCTCGCAGTTCACTCAGTAGATATCTTTTATCTGATAAGGTCCCATGGGGGACACCAGCAAGGCAGGGCTTTGCCTCTCTAGTGAAATAAACCATTTTCTGTTACCTCAGAGCTGTTGTTGTTCTCCTTCTCCTCCTCCTCCTCCTCCTCCTCCTCCTCCTCCTCCTCCTTCTGCCCATCGCTCCTCTGGCTCTTACGGGATCCTCCGGTCTTACAGTTCCCGCTGCAGCTCTTCTTCTCGCCCTCAACCAGAGCCTGGAGGCGCATCAGGAACTTGACCTTCCAGGCCACAAAGTCAGCCTGAACGCTGCCGTTACGGCTCTTCACCACATTACAGTCGCCCTCTCCTCTGGTCATGACTCGCACGGCGCTCAGCATCCAGAGCCATTTGTCCACGTTGGTTCCCACCTGGTTGGCCACAAAGGGATGTAGGTTAGAGGTTTAAAGACCTGGAACATACTTCCAACCCTGGAGCGGTGGATATTGTTGGAGCAACTGATCGAGGCGTAGAATGTTTTGAGAATAACTACGTCGAGGGGCAGTTCTGACCGTATTATAGTGGCCGACGTAGACAGAGTTGCCGAGGCCGAACACTGCGTATCGGAGGCCTTTGAGGAAGGTCTTCCCGTATCTGAAGTCGGTGGAGGCCTCCTGCAACCACTTGCAGAACCACTCGGCGTTCTCTGTGGGCTGCCCGTCCGTGTAAGTCGCCAAGAGGAACACGCAGACCGACTTGTTGGTGCACTGATCAGAGAAGAAACAGTAAAGTAAGCATTTCATTTCAGATTTGGAAATGTAGGTGGTTTCGACATTCTCTTAAATATTTTTTTTTAAAAAGCCATCAGTAGCAACAACTTTTAAAATAAAATAAATGTGCTCCCCTAAAGATAAATCGATTTGAATATGTGTTGCATTCGTCTTTTACCAACAAAAGCTCTGGAACTACTTTTTTTTTTTTACAAAGCACTATACGAACACATTGCTCCAGGAGACCGGCTGCCAACACGCACATCATCAGCAGTGATTACTCACTGAAGCCAGCCTTCTTCAAGGCAAACATTTCTTGTGAAGGACAGCAGGAGATCAATCTGGATTAGATCCACATCCTCTGCCGTCTCGTGTCGAACAGAGTGTTAGCTGAGGAACGGACGGTGCCGTCGCAGGATCGGCTGCTATCTAGAGAGCGACTTGTGCCTGCGGACATTTCTCCTCTACAGATTTTCAATTGCTGAAAAATACAACAGGGGCTTTCTGAATAAAATAGCAGCTTCCTCTACTGCCGCGTTGAGCAACCCGAGAAGAGTTATTAATCTCTCAGCGCATTACACGCTGCCTCTGGCCATGCAAATGAATAAAGAAAACAATACACGGGTGAAAACATTCATCTTTCTTTCAGCTAAGCAGGATTAATTTATTTGCTCTCTGCGCCGGCCGTGTGTGAGGAATCAAATCAGTGCGGAAAAAAACGGATTCAAGGCTGAGTGGGAACTTTCCAGATGCTGAGGCTGAAGCTTGCAGAGGAATTTCTTTCACTTTGATTGTTTTGCGCTTGGGAAATGCAATTTTATGTAATTGGAAGAGAATCCGAGACTCTGGAAAGTAAAAATGTCTTTCTCTGCGGCCTGGAACTGGTACCACTGGTGGAGAGAACCAGTTCTGACATTTTGTATTTTTCTTTATTTGTTTCTAAAGGATTGTTCTGACAGCCCAGGTCCCTTCAAACAAAAATCTACATGTTTTTGTGCGCTTTGTAAAAAAAATAGCTTTAATATTTGGCAAATGTAAAGCACACGTTTATGTTTTTTGTGTCAGTCATGTGCCATTATTTGTTTAATTATTACAACCACTTTCTTTGCACGTATATTTGAACTACGAGTTATGTTATTGAATAAAGGGTTGGAAAATGATGCTTTTTGTTTTTAATATTGGTTTCATCGAAAAAATAATCTAGAGATTAATGGATTATCAAAATAATCATTAGTAGCACATGTCTCTCTGTGACGGATCTTTCTTTCTTTAACCAAATGAGAACAAAGCATCTCCTCTTTAGACCGTGACTTACCTCATCGGCAAGCTGATCGTCTGGATCATAGTCTTTAATGTCGATCACCTCTGCTGGTACACCCGACTTCTTCACCGCCTCCGACAGCTCGACAGCAAACCCCTGCACACAGAAAAAGTCTCACTCAAAGCTGCCCAGAATGAAACCTTGGTTTTGTGAAACTTATGTTGGGATTTTGTACTTTTTGCACTAGGAAACAACCGTGAGGTAGAATATTATAACCACTGTTGGCCTTAATTGTCTTGATAAATAATCATCCTGTCTATATGTTACCATAATGAGCCGGAGCTGGATGTTCTCAGAGAAGAGTGTCTGGTAGTAGGACGTACCTTTGCTGTTCCGGTTTGCGAGCCATAGAATATTTTAACTGCAGATACATGAGACAGAGTGTCCGCAAAGCTGTCGTTGCTTTTCCCAGCTTTGGGATCATCGGAGAACCGTTTCTGCCAAAGCACATACATGAAGAAATGATCAACCACTTCAGGATAATAAATGAGTCGGCCTTAGAATGCAGGGCTTTGTTTTCATAAAATTACAACGACAAAGAAGCTTGCGTATATGAGCATCAAAATACTTCCAGTGAAAAGCAGCAGCCAGTGACATGGTGATAAGAAGAGCTCAGACAAATCAGCACTTTAGAAAGAAAAAGGAAAGCGTGTCCACCATCGCACATAGCTGAAGCAGAGAGAGCAGTCAGTGACGACTCACCTTCTTCTGAGCCACCTTCAGCGAGAACCAGATCCCGAAGACGAGTGCGGCAGCCGAATACAAGTACAGCCTGTTGTGCCACACCGACTTCAGACAGCTCTCACTGGGGCTCAGGGCATTCTGTGACACTGGAGGGGGCAATTATATTCGTTGAGTCTCACACTTTTCATTATTATGAAGAGTAACTGTTTGGTAACTGGACGACGTGCACTAATGCACAGCAGCAGTAGTCGCTGATTCTATGGCAGCGACCTTAAGTCACCTGCTGTAAATAAAAGGCGGGTGGTTAGCAATATATGCTAGCTAGCAATGTTACAAACAATGGCTAAAAGATGACGACAAGTTACTTTCTTGTTGGGTTAACATGTGAAATAGGCTCACCTTTGGTGTCCGCCGCAGACACGCAATGTATGCAAAGCGTAATAATCACGAAGAAGCTCAGCATAGCTGCATTTAGTGTATTAAAATACACAGTCCTCTGCAGCTGATGTTGTGTGCAACCTGTCTCTGGCCAGTGAGCATGCTGGGAAGTGTAGTTCATTATGTGGTTGACAGAAGTCTATTCCATTTTTTTCAAAGCAGGAGTGTCGTGGCACAAAACAATATATCGATTTCTCGTCGTAAATCACGTGGCAAAATGGGACTGGGACATGTTTAATCTGATAGAGTAGCGTCATGCAGTTATGACGTATTTTGTGGTCTTACCACGGAAGTTAGTGTCTCACTGGTTACCTCTGGTATTGGATTGGATTGTTTGTTTGGAAAAAACAAGATTTGTTTTTTTATGATTCTTGATTTGTTCCTTGACAAATAAATACCACCGCACTGCTACAATTCATGAATCGTTAATGAACTCACAAGAAGTCTGTTAACGAACTACACCATGGTCGCGAGTTTACAACGAGGTTGTACGCGTGGGCGACGCGTCGTGATGACGTTTGTAGTCTCACTCCAGCAGGTTTTTAGCAATTGTGTTTTTAAGATTTGTAAAAGCTTCACAATTCACAAGAGGTGTATGTGCTGGCGTATTTATATATCAAAACCAAATTCCGTAACCTTCTATTATCAAAGGTGTCTAAACTAAAACAATTTAAAACCGTTTACTTCGAGGGAATAGGGAATGCACAAACTAATTTCCGGGTTTTAGAACTCGTTCCCGATGCACTACAGTGGTCATGGTAGTATTTTTTGCATATTATTACGATATATGTTGTTTCAAAATGATCATAAGAAACAATTTTTTTTAAACTACCGAATAAATAAAACCGGAGCGGAACTATGTTTCGACGTCGATGTTTTACTGCGGACACTCCTTGATAGCGCACCCGTGGTGCAACGCAGTTGTCTGAGAGCATATTTTTTTCCTTATCAACAGCAGCATTGGGACGGAGCACCCCGTCTTAACAAACACAATTATGTCCATATTTACGCCAACAAACCAAATACGACTGACAAATGTGGCGGTGGTGAGGATGAAGAAGGGAGGGAAGCGGTTTGAAATCGCCTGCTACAAGAATAAAGTTGTGAACTGGAGAGCGGGAGCGTGAGTAGCATCCAATGCCAACAGCTGCAATGTTGAGATTATTTAACCAAATAACTTAACGTTAGTAACGAAATGTGTCGTCAATATTATCTCGAAGTCAACGGACATTTGCTGTCTCGCTCTGTAACTGACAACGTCGTGGCCACCGACGCTTCAGTGTCGATCCCTCAATGTCCGCGCCTTGTTTTCTTCCAGGGAGAAAGACCTGGACGAGGTCCTGCAGACTCAGTCGGTCTTCGTTAATGTGTCCAAAGGCCAGGTGGCTAAGAAGGAGGATTTGACCAAATCGTTTGGGACAGATGATCTGACAGAAATCTGTAAACAGGTAGTGAATATTTACCTGCCCACATCTTTACCTCAAAGGCCTCTGCTGTATTCACCTCACTTCCTGGCCTTTATTTTCTTCTTTTTTCCTCCCTTGAACAGATCCTGGCTAAAGGAGAGCTCCAAGTGTCGGACAAGGAAAGGCATTCTCAGCTGGAGACGATGTTCAGGGACATTGCAACTATTGTGGCTGAAAAGTGTGTCAACCCTGAGACCAAGAGGCCGTATACAGTCAGTCTCATCGAGGGGGCGATGAAGGAAATCCACTACTCGGTTAAGGCCAACAAGAGCACAAAACAGCAGGTGAGGGGGCGCATGTTATCGGTCATGCATATTATATGTCATATAGCTTTTAGGCAACACAAAGCAGCGTTTCAACACGTCAAATGTATTTGAGCTGCTGTCCCACAAAGATTTATTTTACTATTTGCATTACAATGTGTTGTCCTTTCAAGACTGATGTATGGTCTAACTACCTGCATTTGTATAATTGTGTAAACGGGAAACATAGGTTCCTAATTAAGAAGTAAGTCTATAAATGTATGTTTCTAGCAGCAATAACGCTGCTATGTCCTACCTGGAGTGTGTGTTTTTTTCCCTTTTTTTTTCCTTCCCTTTCATCTCGTACAATGGTCCTTTTGCGTGACTTCTGACGAACATGTCTGCATGTTGTTCCCATCGAGGCTCTGGAAGTGATCCGGCAGCTGAAGGAGTCCATGGGGATCCAGAGGGCCCACATGAGGCTGCGGTTGGTGCTGCCGGCCAAAGAGGCCAAGAGGCTGAAGGAGAAACTGAAGCCGCTCCTGCAGGTTGTGGAGAGTGAAGATTTCGATGAGCAGCTGGAAATGGTGAGGGGGAATAATATCAAGATACGCACTTTTATCTTCTGTCCCTTCGGTTTCGCTACGTTGAGATTCTGTATTTTTAGCCCTTGCCTCCTTTTTTCTCGTCATCCTCAGGTGTGTCTGGTGGATCCAGGCTGCTTCAGGGAGATCGATGAGCTGATCCGCAGTGAGACCAGAGGCCGAGGTTCTCTGGAGGTTGTCAGTCTAAAGGATGTGGAAGAGGGGGAGGAGAAATTTTAGAAACCCCAACCAGTCCGGACTCTGCACCTTATCCCAACTAACTAAATGCAAACTCTAAAGTCTATATTGTTTTTGAGATTCTGTTCCTGAGTCTCTTGTCTCTATGATTAAAGGATTTGCTTAACTGAAAGAAAAACTTTGCCAGATTTGCATGCTGGGTGGATTGTATTTTCTTAATTAGTTTGAGCATTTATAAGTAAACACGCAGGTCAGTCCACTGTTCTGGTCTGCATTCACCAATTTTTTTTTAAACTTTTTTTATTTCAGTACCTCTTAACATTAACAAAACGTTTCTGCCTTCCATCAGTGTGTGTGCGCCACATGCTAAAAACCCCAGTTGTATGGATAATTACGTCACCTCAATAACTTATATTTTGTCATAATAACTAAGCATGCTATGAAGAAAATAAATACGTTATGACATTTTTGTTGTGTAAACTCAGTAATTTTTCTTTTCAAATGTATAGTTAATAGGAAATCGAATAAAATGACACTTTGCAGAACTCCTAATGTGTTACAACCCTAAGGACATAAAAGTATAACATCCTAATCGGTGATATTTATAGCACTTTTATATGTCGTATATGGAGAATGTGCAGTAAAGAGCTTAATCCAAAACTAGAAAAGTGCACTTGTGCAGATCTCTGCTGTATCTCCTCCTCGGTCAAGATGACAAAAACAGATTCCCACGTCTGGCATGAGTCATTGTACATTTGATTTTATATTATTATTACCATATTCAAACAATTACTTTTCTATGGATTTCAGTTTTTGGGGCCATGACTAAGGCCAGAATGGGCTGAAGTGGTTGGTGATTCTTCCCCTATTAGCCAATTATGGAGCCAGCGTTCGGTGTTACAGTACAGTCATGTAGGTTCTGAAACCAAAGGGACCACAGCCAGGAACGGTCCTTTAATGAACAAGAACTGAAAACATAGGGCTGATGGATACACCAGTATGTAAGATTCGCTGTGGACAGACATGCACACCCACATGATTACTACGGCGTTTTATTGCGGAGGATTGTATTTAATGTTCAGAAAGAATAAAATGCAATAGTGTAAATATTTCTTCAAATTAGTAGCTTTTATTACAAATAAATACAAAATTCCCCCCCAACAGTTTTCCCAAGATTACATCGAATTCCCGGGATTAAAATTCGATTCTTAAAAGTGAACAGTAAACGGTGTCGTCTCCCTTGTCCACTACAATTCTTCAGGGGAATTTAAAGAAGAAAGCTAAAGGATATCAGCTTTTCCACATATTGCACTTTCCCGATTTTTGTATTAAATGATAATATCGCAAAATATCCTCAGAGTGACATACTTTCCTGAACCTTGTTTATGTGTTTCACATTACAATTGTGCATTTATTCTTGTATTTTATTGCATGGGTTAAATTAGATCTGCAAATGTAATTCTGAAAAGCCCATTGTTGTAGACTCAACCGTCGTAATGTATCAACCCTCTCAATGCTCAATTCCCATCGTGTCCTCTTCCTTTGTCATAGACAAACATTCCAAATGACTGCTAACCTTATTACATCAAGGGCTCTGTGTTACCCTGACTTAAAATATAGTCAATCCTAATAACTCCTGCAAACAAATACGTTTCCCCTGCAATGCAATTTGCCCCACGATGTCTTTTCGTGCAGAAAGATTCCCCTCAAAACAAATATGGTATTAGATTTAAGACTAATGTAAACTAAATTAAGAAGTAAAAGTTTCAGAATCATTAGTATTAGAAACATAAAGCAAACAAGGAGTGTCGTTCTACAGTGATACTGAAGAGAGTAAATGCTCAGTTAGATCAGTGCATCATTACTTCATCGCGGCATCCAGACATATTTAATCCGCATGCTGATCAGCATGCGGTTTAAAACGCCCCTCAGGTGGGCTCGCCTCTGCGCTCAAACTGGCTCTGAGTGAACGTGGTCCTGTTGATCCGGCTCAGCGGGTGACTGGCCTCCTCCGAGGGCTACCAGTTCGGCCCGTCGTCCCCCGGCCGCCCGGCCGGCCTCTCCCCGGTGGGGCACCTGGCGGCGAGGAGCGCCCCCCCGACCAACATCAGGGCGAAGGAGACCCAGCCGAGGTACAGCGCGGGTCCCCAGTCCCTCCTCAGCGGCACGGCGCCCTCCAGCGGCTGCCCGGTGTGATGGCACGTCCAGGCGGTGGGAACCAGCAGCAGCACCCCGGACAAAACGAAGAGGGCGCCCGCAAACACTTTGACCTGGCGCCGCGCGGGGAACCACACGGCCCCCGCCGCGCCGACCGCCACGGCCAAGCCGCCGGCCCCGATGGCGGCCATGACGAGGCCCCTCCACGCCCTAAAGCTCCCGGAGAGAGTCATGAGGGAGCGGTAGAAGGAGCAGTGCAGGCTGCCGTCGTGGGCCAGGTCCCAGTGATCCCACTCCAGCCACACCCCGTCCCAGTATGCCGGCAGGGTGGCCGTGGTGTTGTCCACGGTGCCGCTCACCGTCCATAGCGCCAGGCAGCGGGCCAGGACGGCACACAGCCACCCGGCGAGGGCCACGCCGAGCGCAGCGAGATCCAGCTGCCACTCCATGATTCCCGGCCTCCCGCCCTCCTCCTCCCCTCCTCTCCGCGGCGGGCCGGGGTGCGGGGATCGGGGAGTGCCGTCCTTTTAACAAACGTGTTTGTGCCGGCTGAGGCCTTCTGTGCAGCGCAGCGTCGGGTTTTTGCATGTCTGTTCAGAGGGAGGAGAGGGTGGGGCAGTTGTTGGTGTAAAAGGGGCACGGCCGTGGGTGGAGGAGGGAAATCCCTGTTTTATCTGCCATGGTTTCAAAACAATCCCTTTCTCCATGTTTCTGCGGCACGACGGCTCCACTGTGCTGGGTCATGTTCCTGAAAGGGGCCTCGGGGTAAATAACGTTTGCAGAAATTTGGACTAATGCTCCTTAGTGGGGAAACGTTAATGGAAAATCTTTTAAAATAAATAATTGAAGAGCAAATGGCAGATGTTCACTCAAAGGCGCAACATCTGGTTTCTGACGATTGAAGCAGGTGCAATAGTGTGAAGAAGCAGGGGGCGAATCCACTGGTTGCATAAAGAAGTCAAACTGTACGTTTCAAGTCTTTTTTAAACACCCTGGCGAACCACGGCTCACTGAATCGTGGTTTATTGTAGATTCACAGATGCAAACAAGCATGCACATTTTAAACAGTTTATTTCTCCGTTTATGGTTTCAACAATTGTGATTCCACGTTTGGCTGCAGGTGTGCAATTCATTTTTAGCTTCATGAAGGAAACTGGCAAGTCCTGCTTCATGAGGACTGAAATAATAAGGGAAATCCACATAATGATTTATTTTTCCCAGACTGCAAATGTCAAAATATGTCAGATACTTGTGTTTTACTCCAATGATTGGCAAAAGTCTGCAAAGTGACGGATATCTTGAGAGCAGATTAACTGTGGTCTGAATAAGCAATCAGGGGACTCTCAAAGTCTTAAGCTGAAGGTTTATTGAAGATTGAATTCACGGAGAAGCGAGACACAAAGAGTAAAAAAAAGAAATACAAGAATCCCTCCATGCAAGTTTTTTTTTTCTCTTCAAGGGTGTTTCAACGTGTGCTGGAACTACAGAAAGAGGAAGTACCAAATATGATTGTTTCCCTCCAACTTATACACATGTGCAGATGCAGGTCACAAGGTCCTCTGGGTGTGTGTGTGTGTGTGTTTTTGTTATCCTATAGACATTGGACTCCGTCTCCCCTCACGTCCCTCGATGATGCCGCCATGAAGAGAGACAGCGGAGATACCAACAGTTTCTACACCATTGGCCTTTTAGGAAGGTCAGGACCTGGGTCCACGTGTCTCGCCCTGAAGGAAAAGACAACATAACAGAATGAATTGCAAAGCAGACACCTTCAAATGTGTTTTTTCATCATATCACAGGCTTCATTACATTTCTCCATCAGCGGCGACTGGTTGGTCTCAGCCCTCACACGTAGTTCCTGATGGCGTAGCTGCTGCGCGTGGGTGTCCTGGCCGCCGTGTATCCGCCGGCGGGGAACCCGGCCCCCTGCGGCGGGCAGCTCGTGCACAGGATGACCCCCCCGCAGAAGAGCAGGCCGCAGGCCACGAAGCCGACGTATACGGCAGCCCCGAGCTCCCTCTTCAGCACCTCGGGGACACGCGGGTTGTAGAAGTCCCTGATGACGGAGTTGGCCGTCCAGGAGACGGGGACCACGGTGACGAGGGCCGCCAGGCAGAAGGTGGCCCCAGAGCCCACAACCAGCCGCGCCTTGAGCCCCGGGTGGTCCAGGCAGTTGGTGCAGCGTGCCCCCAGGATGAAGACCAGGAAGCCCAAGCAGCCCAGCACCAGGCCGATGCAGATGAGGCCGCGGGCGGCCTGCAGGTCGGGCGACAGGTCCAGCAGCGCGTCGTAGAGCTTGCACTGCATCTGACCGGTGTACTCGCTGACACACGTCATCCACAGACCCTCCCAGAACACCTGCATGACCACCAGGTGGGTGCCGATGAACGCCGTCACCTTCCACATGGGCAGGGCGCAGATGAGGATGGTACCGGCAACGCCGATCATGGACAGGCTGATGCCCAGCTCCTGCACAGCCATGGGACACGAGCCTCTCACACCCTGGGGGGACAGTCATGATCATGTTTTGGCTTTTCATTGTCTTTGTGCAGGTAAACTGAGGTCTTCAATATAAGATGATGACAGAAACCGTCCACATACATTTCAGTAAATATCAGGTTGTTTCCTGTAATTGAAGTTACTGGATAAATATGTGGGGATGTTTTTCAGCCATGGAGGCAAATGGCCACAAGGGTGCAGAATTTCACAATGTAATGGAATCAGGTCCTGCTTTCACCGGCGGTAACAAATGTGTTTTTATTTGAAAATATCAAAATTTCAAAATCCAAAGTTGAAAATAAAGAGTGAAAAGCACTTCTAAAAAAAGTATGAACTGTAAATAAAGTGGAATCTTCTCTTTCAGAATAGTTTCCAAAGTTACGATGTTACATAAAACCACTTTGGAATATTCTGTGTTAAATATTTGAGACAAAAGAAAAAACATTTTGTTTGCCAGTGCCAGTAATGTCTAAGTAGAAAAACTGTTTATTTTGTGCATTTACTGTAGGCTTCATTTTTTTTGAATAAGGACTCTTTGAAATGCTTTATTGGGGTCTGATCTTTGTATTGTGCATTTAATGGGACGGTATTTAGTGGGTCAAAAGAAAATAAAAGTATTTCACTGACACCATAAAAGAGTGGGATTAATGTGTGACGTCCAAACCAAAGCCAAACTACTGTAATGTAACATTAACACATGAGAGGTTGTGAGCAACATTTCACTTCTCCAAGTTTAAAGAATCCTTCGGTGACTTTTAAGTAATTTGACCCCCTCTGCCGTCTCTGATCGGCAGCCTGAATACAAACCGCTCCCATCAGGCTGAATATGAACTAACAACAACAACAACAACAACACCTCAAATCAAAGCCATCTTTCAAAACCCCTTTAAACCCAGATATCTTAGATCATCAGGTAACCCTATTAACAGTTTTAACACTTCACCCGCTTTTAATTCATTTTAATTTCAAAGCTTCAAAGCTTTTGACGCAAGTCTAGAAAAATCAACGTGATCTCCAAAACCTGTTCGTAAAGACGTATACGAAATATTCGTAACAATACATACTAACTGGCGGTGGTTAACCACGCCCCTTGAGTGAACGTCTCCGCCATGTTGGATTTTTTCAGGAGGTTAGAGTTAGTTTTGTATTCTTACAATTTAACATTGATTTCTCGTTTAAAAATACAATCATAACACATTTATTTTACATCGTTAGACTTCACGAAGTGTGTTTACGGGGTGCAGGTCCCCATTCACTTTGAATAGGGTGACGTCATCAGTTGCAGTCCGTATTTATTTAGTATGTATCACTACGAATTTGTATCTTCAAGATTTTCGTATACATCTTTACGAAGAGGTTTTGGAGATCAGGCTGGAAAAATGGGTCGACGCACGCAAGGAGGTGTGAAAAGTAACGCAAGGGACACGCAAGGGGCTCTTGCGTCTGCGTTTCCTTGCGTCTCTCTGAAAACGCAGAAGCTTAAACTAGGCTTAAGTCTAATCTCTTTATTCGGCAAACGATGATGTTTGAAAGCAGGTCGTGCTTTACCAAACACATCGGCTAACAGGCTCATGAATTCATGAGTCACCATCTTTGTTTCCTGCCCAGTGATCTCAGGTAGCCACCTGTCAAACAGGTTCTCTTGTTCCAAGTAACTACTGGTGCTTCACCTTTTTTCCCCGAGGTAGATAAACAGGAAGAGTGAGACAAACAAAACATTCAACGTTGAGTCATTTATTTTGAAAAATAAGAGTTACTAATATCAAAGTGCCATAACAATTTTTCTTCCAACTGAAACAAAACACTTGTAAGTGTAAGATGTAAAACCGAGAGTTTCTATGGTTTGAACTACCACCGTATACCTACATACACATACATGTACACAACAACACCCAAAGTGTAAGACAGCTTATTCAAACATCCAGAAAAGGACTCTGACAATATGAGAAAAGTGCATATTTCCAGGTTGTCTGTGCGTGTGACCTTTCTCTCATATGTCACGGCCACTGATTAAACCCCCACCTTCATTTGACCCTTATGACAGACTTCCATTGTACCCTTTAGACATGTCAGATATACGTCTTGTCTGGCAAAAAAGTTGAATCCTCTTTGCTGTTTCCTCCAGACCTGTTTACGAGATACTTCACAGAGGGGCTTTTATCCTCTTTTGGGGGGCAGGTGGCACACAGAAGCGCTCCTCCCAAGACCAGCAGCGCCCCGGCCCCCCATCCGATGTACAGAGAGGCCCCGATCTCGCTCTTCTGGGAGTCCAACAGCACAGGGTTGTAGAAGTCCCTTATGATAATGCTGGCGGTCCACGAAACGGCAATAAGGCAGAGGAGCCCGCTGATGATCAACAACACGCCTGCTGCCACCGAGGCCCTCGCCTTGGCCCTCTCATCTGCAATGAAGTTGGTGCACTTCCCGCCGGCCAACGCTACGAAGATCCCCGCGATGCCTACTACGATGGACACCACCACCAGGGCGCGGGCCCCCTGCAGGTCGGGGCTCAGAGACAGCATGGAGTCGTAAACCTTGCACTGCATCTGGCCCGTGCTCTGGACCACGCAGGTCATCCAGAGGCCCTCCCATGTGACCTGAGCGGTCACAATGTTGCTGCCGATGAAGGCTGTGACCCGCCACATGGGCGCGCCGCAGATGATGATCACCCCGATCCAGCCCAGCAGCGCCATGGCGCACCCAGCTATCTGCAACCCCGCGGAAACCATCGTCTTCCCTCTCTGAGCGAGTCTCTCAGAGAATATTTGGAGCCGACCGGGTGCTTATGATCATCTGCGGCAGAATTAAAATGAAGTGAGGGAGGCGTGAAAACCAAGCGTTGGCTCGACTTGAGGGATTAATGATAGGGAGAGAAACAGGAACCCGCCTCCACATACACGTATCCACACTGACGAGGGTTTGATATGAAGACAAAAATGCATCTCCGCTGGTTGTGATTGGAAGTCGTACTTATTCCCAGAGGAAACACGTCAAATCAAAATACTATTGGGAAAAGTCTAGAGGTTTGACTGGACCCTTCTGTCTCTGCTCATGTAGCTCTGTGTTTGCAGGCAAAGTAGTTTTGATTCTCTCTCTGTTGACATATTTCATAACACCTTTATGTTGAATACCTCAGTTTCACTAATAAACAGCGAAAGATTCTTTTGGTCTGAGATTTTTAAAAGCTATAAAAATTATGCCATCATCTAAATTATGTGAAAATACATCCTCAGCTTGCTTACTATTATTTAACTTAAAAAATGTTTTTAAAAAGTGTGAAATTATGTTTATCATCAGGTACAACAATCTCTCCACTATATTTAACAATGAAAGAGAAAGCATTATTTTCAGCTTTCATTTTTTAGGAAATGCCTGAAACCAATGTTTCATTACTGCTTTGTTACACAGTGATGTGTTGTTCCATTGTTGTCTCTTCTCATCAGTGACTTTTGCACCCGGTCATCAATCCATAACCGGCTGGGTAAGATTCTTCTCTGTGAGGACAGAGGGCAGGTCAGGAATGTGAAACAGGGTGTGTTCATAACAAAGACACACCTTGTGGAGCGGTAGTGGGCCGTCAGGGACAGCTAAGCCTTCTCTGCTGGGCTAAACAGAATCACAAAGTTACAGCTTTCTCATCATTTATTTTTTCTGCAGTAGTATGTTTTTCTATCGTGTTGTTTTTATTTTATTGTTATTATGAGATGTAAATAACACTAGAATGGGCTGTGCTCTTAAGTGTGCAGTGGTTTATTGCTGCAGTTTTGATGGATTGTTTTGTCATGCTTTGTTGTAAATAAATATAACTTTTATTTCTAATGTTACAATGTTTTGTAAATATTTAGCGTTTACACAGAACAAACAATGACCTGTAATGGTGGTGTCATAATGAGGTTATTAGGTTAATCAACTGTAATAATGTGGCACAGAAGGCCCAAGTAGTAAATGCACGGCCCGCCACTGCAACTGAGATGTATGTTTAACATAATGCAGATGTTGTTTCCTGGATGTCGTACCATGACACATATTTGTACACAAATCCTTGATCACATGATGAAATACTTTAAAATGTGTTCTGGTGACGACAATTTCCGTAGCCTCGCGGTTCCCCCTCTGGTTAACACCGTTAGCTAGCTGGCCGTTGAGCCGTCCCTGTGGACATCTGAGGTGAGGGGACCGTCCTCGTATACGCACCTATACTTTGGGATATAGTTTGGAGACATGATTACGGTAATAATGGATTAAAGAAACCAAGGAAGACCGAGAAACAATGGTCAGTGTCAGTTCATTCCTCTTTATGATGAACATTTGTCCTGTTGACCCACATAAATACTTTAAATACTCACTAAAAGCACAAAATGGAAAAATATTCACAACTGAGAATAGTCCCCAATGAATGAACATATTTTTCACGTTTGAATAATAATTGCAAAAATCAACACACTGTTTGAATTATTTCACCGTATCCTCTATTAAAAATATACTATGCATCTGTGAAACATATTCTAAGCCAATGCACGTGCAAGTGACTGAGAAGGAGAGTAACAATAATTTAGAAAGTGGCCGTTTGAGACCTTTTCTTGAGGTTTGTTGACAGTAGGAAAAATGTAGAAAAACGGCAGCCATATCGTCCTCAAAGATCTTAGTCCCAATGTGCTCCTCACTGCTCCTAGGCTTTTCTTTAATGCTAATCAAAGCAAATACTTTTTACTTCAGAATGTTTAAATGCAGGTGGAGTATGGGTACGGCTCTTAATGTGTGTTATAACTAACACATTGTAGCCAAGCTGTGACTCAACACTGTAAAACTGGTTGAACTGGTTGAACGTCTGCGTGAAGACTTTGACACTCCTTTGAATGTTTTTGAACACACTGTTCTTACGCTCTCCTGCTCTGCATTGGTGACCTCTTTGAGGTCCATGATGATTTTATTTCCTGTAAACAGTATGTCTCTATAAATAAATGTGATTACTGCTGACGGTGCCCGATTCAAGGTCGCGAAAACAGAATTTAAAGTTGCTCAAGACCAAAATTGTGAATGTAAACAGCATCAAACTGGTCAGAATCTAAACAAATAGAATGAAAGAATGTCACTTAATACATGTTTATTAAATATAAACAGCTTAGATATTACAGAGCAAAGATATGTGTATCATATTTTATACATACATCCATAATATATCAAGAGATACTGCACAAGCTTCCGCCTATCAAAGTTCTCATTTACCATTAACATTGTATTGGCACAGCTTCAAATTGCATTTACAAAGAAGACAAAAGTTTGATACAAGCGTTATAAATAACAGCTCTCCAATTCTGTCCAGTCAGCATGCTGCTGGGAGAGCTTGTATTGAGTTTCCTGTTCAGCCAGAAACACTTTCTCAACACTTGCCTCAAAGAAACCACAATCTCTCCCAAAATCTCCCTCGCTCAAGAAAGAGACTTTGTGGTGCTGTCAGAAATTCACAACAATGGACGATAACTCATTACAAAAAAGGTAAAATATTTTTCAGGAGGACGGAAGTCTCAGACATATTCTCGGCTGGTGGCTGTGGACCTGGCGGGGGCGTACTTGACTGGGTACTCGGGGCTGTCTTTGCGTGGACAGGAGCTGCAGAGCAGGGCCCCACCCAGCAGTAGAACCCCGGCTGTGCCCCAGCCGATGTAGAGCGCGGCTCCCAGCTCCCTCCTCTGGGGGTTGGTCAGGATGGGGTTGTAGAAATCCCTGATGATGGTGTTGGCCGACCAGCAGACGGGGACGAGGATCAGAACGCCGGCGCAAATGAAAATGATTCCAGAGGCGATGGCCACCTTGGCTTTGGAGCTTTCGTCGCTCACGAAGTTGGTGCACTTGCCTCCGACAACTCCCAGGATGACCGCCATAGCGGCGACGATGATGGAGATGACCACGAGGGCCCTGGCCGCCTGGAGGTCCTGGGGCAGAGCCAGCAGGGAGTCGTAGATCTTACACTGCATCTGGCCCGTGCTCTGCGTCACGCAGTTCATCCACAGGCCCTCCCAGATGACCTGCGCCGTCACAATGTTGGCTCCGATGAAGGCTGTCACCTTCCACATGGGCATGGCGCACACAATGATGGTCCCCAGGAAGCCAATGATGCCCAGGGCAAAGCCCAGCATCTGTCGTCCCATTGACACCATGATGAGGTTGGGTTTGAATCACTCGAAAAGGCGGCGGAAGAGTGGAAGTTGTTAGTAGCAGGTCAGCTCAGCTCGGGTAGTGAGGTTGAATGAAGACGGCCAGGTGTTTGGTTTGGTTATAAAGACGTGCCCGTGGAAGGTGGAGTCAGAATGCGTCCTGTGAGTTTCTCTTGACCAGAAACCAGTGCGCTGACTGGCCCAACCAGATTCTTGTGGGGATCTGACAGGGAGTAGTTTCGATGACATCAGCACCGACTTTGAGTGAGTATGTAAATGACTATAAAGAGGCACGGAGATGTTAATTGATCTGCTCACTTTCAGGAAGGGAGTATCACCGGGATGTCTGACGCCACCGGAAAGAGCCTCCATTCATGGTTCTATCTCTATCTCTATCATCCCCATATATTACATACTATTCCAGTGAACAATTCAGTGGTTTGTTTTCAATTAAAATAAAAACCCACACATGTTAATCAATAAAACTACAAGATTCATTTTTGTATTTTGTCAATATGTCAAATGTATTTTCATAATGGTCTTTCCTTCTGCTTCTTTGTGTGTTTGCGCGATTCATGAGCTCTTAAGTGTTTGCAAAACTAGCTACAGTGATCCAATATATATATCATTTTGGTTTTAGAAAATCATTTTTTATGATGTTCATAGATTTACTGAGGGAAATTTATAATTTCTATAGCATATTTAATAGCCTCTTGCTCCCACAGACAAGGAGGAGAGACCTAGAATCCTAAGGTGCCAGACCATATTTTCTAATACATCATAATATCTTCTGACAAGGACTCCACAAACATATGTGATTATACAACAAATATTTTATTTAAAATCTTTAACAATGAACATGCATTTACAGACAACAAACATCACAAACCATCACTATTTACAAAATCTACTCTATATGTAGTACAAGGAAATAAATATATGGACAGTAACTTCCTGGACACATTGAAAAGCAATACAACTTTCAGTGCACGCAGCCATGTTAACCCAATGTCTGTCTGACATTAAGACTTCATAAAGTGGGAAGATTTCTACTTTTGGCGAACAGTATCAGTGGAGTTTCCCTCCCGACTCCAGTTGAGCCCGAGAAGCGCTTACTGTTCCCCCTTTGACTATTTGCCTTGTTTTGCCTTGTTTGCCTTTCTTGTTCACTTCCCAGGTTGAATGGGAAAAAAAATCATTGGCTACAAATCAAACTGCTGTGCGTGTGGATTTGGGTCCACCAACTACACCCACTACCATATTAAGGTGGAGCCTACAAGATAATGGCTCTATGGCGGCTATGTTAGTTGAATAACAAAGACAATTTTAGAATGCTTCTCTTTATTCATTGTGAAAAGTGTTTTCACAAGATTCAGTCGCAGAATAAAATATAATTAAAATCTTTTAAGATAAATTGTGTATTTCAGTGAACCACTGAACTTCTGGATAGCTCTCCACCACAGTAATGCAATAGTTCGTAAAACTAAAATTGTTTCATGAACGTATTGTCTTAAAGGGGAAATATTATAAAAATTCCACTTTTTTAGTGCTTCTTCACCTTAATTTGGGTATCTGGCATGTCTACCGACACAAAAAACACAGTTTGTTATGGTTCTTCTCCCAAAATCTCCCTCGCTTAAGAAAGAGACTTGTGGTGCTGTCAGAAATTCACAACGATGGCCGATTACTCATTACAAAAAAGGTAAAATATTTTTCAGGAGGACGGAAGTCTCAGACATATTCTCGGCTGGTGGCTGTGGACCTGGCGGGGGCGTACTTGACTGGGTACTCGGGGCTGTCTTTGCGTGGACAGGAGCTGCAGAGCAGGGCCCCACCCAGCAGTAGAACCCCGGCTGTGCCCCAGCCGATGTAGAGCGCGGCTCCCAGCTCCCTCCTCTGGGGGTTGGTCAGGATGGGGTTGTAGAAATCCCTGATGATGGTGTTGGCCGACCAGCAGACGGGGACGAGGATCAGAACGCCGGCGCAAATGAAAATGATTCCAGAGGCGATGGCCACCTTGGCTTTGGAGCTTTCGTCGCTCACGAAGTTGGTGCACTTGCCTCCGACAACTCCCAGGATGACCGCCATAGCGGCGACGATGATGGAGATGACCACGAGGGCCCTGGCCGCCTGGAGGTCCTGGGGCAGAGCCAGCAGGGAGTCGTAGATCTTACACTGCATCTGGCCCGTGCTCTGCGTCACGCAGTTCATCCACAGGCCCTCCCAGATGTCCTGCGCCGTCACAATGTTGGCTCCGATGAAGGCTGTCACCTTCCACATGGGCAGGGCGCACACAATGATGGTCCCCAGGAAGCCAATGATGCCCAGGGCAAAGCCCAGCATCTGTCGTCCCATTGACACCATGATGAGGTCGAGTTTGAATCACTTGAAAAGGCGGCGGAAGAGTGGAAGTTGTTAGTAGCAGGTCAGCTCAGCTCGGGTAGTGAGGTTGAATGAAGACGGCCGGGTGTTTGGTTTGGTTATAAAGACGTGCCCGTGGAAGGTGGAGTCAGAATGCGTCCTGTGAGTTTCTCTTGACCAGAAACCAGTGCGCTGACTGGCCCAACCAGATTCTTGTGGGGATCTGACAGGGAGTAGTTTCGATGACATCAGCACCGACTTTGAGTGAGTATGTAAATGACTATAAAGAGGCACGGAGATGTTAATTGATCTGCTCACTTTCAGGAAGGGAGTATCACCGGGATGTCTGACGCCACCGGAAGGAGCCTCCATTCATGGTTCTATCTCTATCTCTATCATCCCCATATATTACATACTATTCCAGTGAACAATTCAGTGGTTTGTTTTCAATTAAAATAAAAACCCACACATGTTAATCAATAAAACTACAAGATTCATTTTTGTATTTTGTCAATATGTCAAATGTATTTTCATAATGGTCTTTCCTTTTGCTTCTTTGTGTGTTTGCGCGATTCATGAGCTCTTAAGGGTTTGCAAAACTAGCTACAGTGATCCAATATATATATCATTTTGGTTTTAGAAAATTATTTTTTATGATATTCATAGATTTACTGAGGGAAATTTATAATTTCTATAGCATATTTAATAGCCTCTTGCTCCCACAGACAAGGAGGAGGGACCTAGAATCTTAAGGTGCCAGACCATATTTTATAATACATCATAATATCTTCTGACAATGACTCCACAAACATATGTGATTATACAACAAATATTTTATTGAAAATCTTTAACAATGAACATGCATTTACAGACAACAAACATCACAAACCATCACTATTTAAAAAATCTGCTCTATATGTAGTACAAGGAAATAAATATATGGACAGTAACTTCCTGGACACATTGAAAAGCAATACAACTTTCAGTGCACGCAGCCATGTTAACCCAATGTCTGTCTGACATTAAGACTTCATAAAGTGGGAAGATTTCTACTTTTGGCGAACAGTATCAATCCAAAACAATACAAATTCATTTTAAGAATGCATTGGAATATATCCTCTACAAATAAAAATGTCCGGTTTGGTTTTAGAGGTATTGTCTAGCAGAGTATGCGGTTGGTGCTGCATACGGTTTGCTCGGCAGGTATGTCCCCGTGCCTGTGTACGGTTGGCTGGATGCAGGCGCATACATGGGGCCATACACTGGCTGGTTTCCCCCTGGGCCCCCGTATGGGTACATCGGGGCTGGCGCGTACCCTGGGTATCCATACCCATTCTTTTGAGGAGGGCAGGACGTGGTCAAGATGATCCCGCCGATAAGAAGAAAAGCAGCAGCGGCCCAGCCGATGTAGATGGCCGCTCCAAGTTCCCTCTTCTGTGACCCGATGGTCAGGGGGTTCTGGAAGTCTGTGATGGTGATCACTGCAGACCAGGTGACGGGGATCACGATTAGGAGGGCGGAAACCAGGATGAGACAGCCGCCTAAGATAACCACCTTGGCCTTTGAGGAATCCTTTTTTAGGGAGCTGGTGCACTTGGCCCCGATGAAGGTGATCAAGAAGCCGATGAAGCCGAAGATGAGGGAGATGATGACCAGGGCTCGGGAGGCTTGCAAGTCCCTGGCCAGACTCTGAAGAGACTCGTTCAGCCGGCACTGCATCTGCCCGGTGCTCTGCATCACACAGTTCATCCACAGGCCATCCCAAATGACTTGGCCCGTCACAATGTTGGCTCCTATGAAGGAAGTCACTCTCCACATGGGGATCCCTGTGGTCACCGCCACCCCAACAAAGCCAATGAAGCTAATGAGCTGACCTGCCACCTCCTTGCCAATCCTTCCCATGGTGAACACACTTCTTTTGCCGCAAGAGAAAAGAGAGTCTCAGCACACGGCTCTGGTCTTCTTTCGGAGTGAAGCAGTTCTGTCCCTTGTTTGCCAGAGAAGCGGGCAGGAGGAGGGCTGTGTTGTTGTCAAGTGAGTTCTTCTGGTCAAACAAGATTCCGTTTCCTGGAGCTAGAGGCGTGCCACCCATTTCTTTTTTCAACAATGCCCCTTTGCCTTGGGTAATACTGTCTAATGTGCACATATCCTGCAATGAGGAATGCTTATTGGATGGGGACTTCAAAGGTCCCGAAACCCTCAAAGGCTGTAAAGGATGGCAAGTGAGTTAATTACGTCCATTTCATGTGGCAATTTAGAATCAGAGTTGCATATTATGTTAGGGGCCCTATCTGCTAATCAGTTTTTCCCAGTGTCTGTGCTTTTGTTTTGTTGTTTTTTGTCAACCTAGAGTTTCCAACCTTGTGTTCTGCCTCCGGTCCGCCCCTCTCTCAATAGCTCAGCTGTGGCTCATTCCGGGAATCACCAGTGACGGGCATAAAGGCTCCTGAGTACCCAGACTGGTCTCAGGTGCCGGTGAATGTCGCTATCAGGTGTAGTGCACCAGTTTGCATGTTTTTGCTTTTTGTCTTGCAGTGTCAGACCTGCGGAGTACACGTGACTCGTTTTAATCGGACTCTGGTTATGGTGTCGGGCCTCGGGTTTCCACAGCAGAACCCTGCTTTATCCGCCCCGGACCGCAAGACGTCGGTGGAGTTTCCCTCCCGACTCCAGTTGAGCCCGAGAAGCGCTTTCTGTTCCCCCTTTGACTATTTGCCTTGTTTTGCCTTGTTTGCCTTTCTTGTTCACTTCCCAGGTTGAATGGGAAAAAAAATCATTGGCTACAAATCAAACTGCTGTGGGTGTGGATTTGGGTCCACCAACTACACCCACTAACATATTAAGGTGGAGCCTACAAGATAATGGCACTATGGCGGCTATGTTAGTTGAATAACAAAGACAATTTTAGAATGCTTCTCTTTATTCATTGTGAAAAGTGTTTTCACAAGATTCAGTCGCAGAATAAAATATAATTAAAATCTTTTAAGATAAATTGTGTATTTTAGTGAACCACTGAACTTCTGGATAGCTCTCCACCACAGTAATGCAATAGTTTGTAAAACTAAAATTGTTTCATGAACATATTGTCTTAAAGGGGACATATTATGAAAATTCCACTTTTTTAGTGCTTCTTCACCTTAATTTGGGTATCTGGCATGTCTACCGACACAAAAAACACAATTTGTTATGGTTCCTGTACAGCAGAAATCTCACGCTTGAGTGAGTATAAACTTCCTTCTCATTCTCTCGTCACAATGAAATGAGAGTCTCTGGCCTCGGCCCCCCATCACATCGCCCCGACCCCCTGCGGTCACTATCGATACTGTAGCGGCTCACTCACAACACGGAGGCGAAAGGACGCATGGGCAGGAATCCTTTAATTCTTGTTCAGGAGCACAGTGAGAAGAGCCCGCCACATATCTCTATAATCTGTAACGTTACTTACTCTGTTATTAACTCTTCTACCTAACTTGACTAGCCCACAACACGGGAGTCACCCTGCCTAGCACGTACAGTCACTCCCCGTGATTGGCCGGAGTGAGGGGGATAACGTGACACACAGAACTAACACACACACACTGACACATATACTTCTGAACAGGGTCGCTACAATACGAATATATATATATATATATAATACGCAATAGCTAGCAAGCAGCATGAAGCAAATGAAGCCGTCAAGCTGACGTTAAGGCTGTCAAGGCTGTTTTAGACAGGGGTAAAAGGGTTCTGTTTTAAATGATCCTTGTGGTATTTTAACCAAAGTATGTTACAGACATTTCATCAAGACCTCAAAGAACCACATCAACTTGTGGTAAAATGTGCATACGATGGGTCGTTTATGGTCTTGAACAGGCACGTGCACAGACATTTCAGGGGGCCGGTGCTCAAACAAAAGGGCACCCTTGCCAAAATGATTTATGAAATTATAAATAATAACAAATAATTAAATAAAAAACACTATTTTCAGCTTATATATTTATTTTTGTTAACAAACTAACTCAAATTATCAAATTGAATAAATATCTGGCAAAAACAGACACAACAAGGCCATATTGTATAATCAAATAATATGTTAAATAATGAAATATTCTAACTCAAAACGCTGCTGTTTTTACTGTTTTCTTTTACAGTTTAAGCATAAGCAGCTTTACACTCAATAATATACCACAATACACTTCACCAGACTGTCATGTAGCTCAACTTAAGACTTACATTTCATTTCAATAATTTTATATGAAACAAAACTAGTCAACTTGTCTAATTTGTATCAGCAAAACTGCCTGTATATTCTGTCTGCCTGCCTGTATCTCTCTCTGTATCTCGCTCGCCATTAAACATGACAAGTTTTTTAGGAAGCGTCGGACCAGTTGCGTAATGTTTTCAGCGGCGCTAATGTTGTGGTTAATTTATCAGCCAACGGGGGACGGGGGATTCGCACGAACACCGTCTTTACCTGCAGCCGTTTGACGCTCAGCACGAGCACAAGTGGAGGAGACCAAGAAAGTCATTTTTATTCTTAAATATTGATAAATGAAGAAAAAAATGGGGCTCTAGCAGATGGGGCACTTTTCTCAACCAGGGCAAAAGGGGCAGGTGCTTGAGCCCCACTATAGGGGTCTATCTGTGCACGTGCCTGGTCTTGACCCTCACACCACTTTAAGGTAACTTGTTCCTGTCACTCTTTCTCCAATGGAACTAAAGTAAGTAAACAGTTATCATCCAGTTAATATAGTTTATTTAGATTCACAGAATATTACAACATTCACAAACACAGGCTGTGGGAAAATCAAAACAGATAAAAATGCAGCTACTTTTCTTTACCTAACGTTTTTAGTTATTAGTGACATTAGTGTGTTATTGAGACAGATGCTTATATTCCTGCCATATTTCCTGTTGAGTTGTTACTATCAAAACAACAATAAAGACGAGTCTTTACCACAATCTGGCTGAATATTTACTAATTATAATCATTAAAAATCCTGGTTACTCAACCAGCCACAATACAACATTGTTTTCGGGTTTTTTAAGACTCTTCCCTTTTGAAATGTCTGAGCCGTGAACAAAAGCCAGTATCCTGTTGAGTGTTGGACGGACTGTTTTCACAGCAAACAGTTTCTCTCATTGTAGCAGGAGAAGTCAACATTGATGATCCGATCCGTTGAGGGGTGACGGTGAACCCCGGGATGCTGTCATTGTTTATGTTGTAGGCTACACTCGCTTAACAAAGACAAGATGTCCGCTATCAGAAAGGTCACTTTGACACACACGCTAACAGCAATCATAGCTCAACATTCAGCACGTGGCATGCGTGTGATTTCGAGCTCTATTTACATTGCTGGTGAATATACGTTTTTTTTAAATAATCATTTCTCACAGTTGCAATTCCTGTGGCCGCAAGAGTCCATGTAGGAAGCGCTGACCCTTCTTACACGTACTCTCTTGATGTGGAGACCGACTTCACGGGTGTGAATTTGGGCGCGTAGGGCCGTCGCTCGTATTTGGGCGGGCAGTTCCAACACATCAGCCCCCCTCCCAGGAGCAGCAGCGTGCCAGCCGCCCAGCCGATGTACAGCGCCGCCCCCAGCTCGTAACGCTGGGCCTCGATCAGCAGCGGGTTGTAGAAGTTGCTGACGATGGTGTTGGCGGACCAGGAGACTGGAATGAGACAGAGCAGGCCCGACAGGATGAACAAGACGCCAGCCAGGATGCAGGCCTTCGCCTTGGCTCGCTCCTCCTCGATGCAGTTGGTGCACTTCCCGCCGGCGATCGACAACATCACCCCAATGGCGCCCGTCAGGATGGAGATGATGACCATGGCGCGGGCGGCCTGCAGGTCCTGGGGCAGCGCCAGCATGGAGTCGTACACCTTGCACTGCATCTGGCCCGTGCTCTGCACCACGCAGTTCATCCACATGCCCTGCCAGATGGTCTGCGCCGTGATGATGTTGGCCCCGATGAAAGCGGTGACCTTCCACATTGGCAGGGCGCACACCACGATGACCATGAACCAGCCAATTATGGCCATCGATATGCCAATGATCTGAATCCCCTGAGAAACCATTTTGCCGGGCTTCCTTCCTGCTCATTAAAAATCCAAGAAGAGAGACGGCGCGGGACGATGTGAGCTCGTATTTATAGGGTTCTTGTCTGAGAAATGGAGGACACAGGCATGAGGGTATGTGATGACACAGTCCTCAGCTTCTGTTGGCTGAGAGGAGTTTACACACAAACAGAGCCGGTGACCTTTAGTTGTGCTGACGTGACTGAATCCAGGGCTTTAAGGTCAGACAACAGAAAAATGTCCTCATCCATAAAATGTTTATTCTCTAAAAGACTTCAAAGTATAAAGTCTGGCTATGATCACACAGAATTAAGGAATATTGACCAATGAGGCTTCTTCTAATTTTACACATTTACAACACTTGAATCACAGAAGTAATAAAAAGAGTAAACAATCCACTTTCTCAAGAAATGGACTTGTGGCTGTACAGTAAATGTAGTATATACCCAACACAAGTACGAGCAAAACTGGATACAGCTTCTGTGTTTTGGATTCATGTTTCAGGTCCGGTAATCCCACTTAAAAATGACAACATTTTGTTCTATTTTAAAGAATTCTGCAGGTGACAGAAGTGGTGTTACTGTGTGCAGTGTTTGACTGGTAATGACGCACACATTAGAAGCAAGTTTCCAGTAGAAAAAAGTTCTCTGAAAACTCTGACCTGATTATTGATGATCTACAGTATAATACCAAGTTGGGGTATTAGAGTGTATTTTCTGAAATATGAAAAGGGTAGAGTTTTTATTTTACACTATATTCATGATATATATTTATTCCTTTATTTATTCTATATTTATTTCACTTAACTTTATATTTAGAATTTATATATTACCTTTTTGTATGTCACAAGTTTTTAGATTAAAAACCGGAGTTATGTGTTATTTTGAAACCTCTGTTTTTGTTGATTTAGCTGGTTGAAGAACACAATAAACCAAGAATTAGCTCCAATTGATAAAAAAAAATCTTTATTTACAGTTTCACACAGTCACATATAATACACATTGAAAATGAAATGATATGTTAAAGGCGTGGTGCACATGTCCAAGTGTTGGCACCTATGAGACCAATCTTGAAGTCATCATGAAAGCATCAAACTAAACATTGGGCACAGTAGAATCACTGTGAAATTAAAATGCAAAATAAATCAATTTCATGGACCACAGAGCATTTGACTCAAGTCTTTTTTTTTCTCCAGTCTCTTTGGCTCTTACTTCTTCAGACAAAGTCCTTGGGCGCGTTTGGACGGGCAGCGGCGTACTTAGCGGTGTAGTTATCCTTGGGAGGACAGTTGGCACAGAGGAGAGCACCACCCAGGATGAGGAGGCCTGAGGCCCCCCAGCCGATGAAGAGTGCAGCTCCGAGCTCCTTCTTCTGAGAGGCCATCACCAGTTGGTTGTAGAACTCTGTAACAACGGTGTTTGCCGTCCAGCACACTGGGATGATGCACAGAATGCCAGCGAGGATGAAGATCACGCCGGACCCCACGCCAATTTTGGCTTTTGCCACCTCGTCTTCCACACAGTTGGTGCACTTGCCCCCTGCGATGGAGAGGAGGATGCCTATGACGCCGAGCATGATGGCGATGATGATGAGGGCGCGGGCGGCCTGGAGGTCCGAGGAGAGGGCCAGCATTGAGTCGTAGACCTTGCACTGCATCTGGCCCGTGCTCTGCACCACGCAGGTCATCCAGATGCCCTCCCAGGTTGTTTGAGCGGTGACGATGTTCTGGCCGATGAATGCGGTCACCTTCCACATGGGCAGGGCGCAGACGACGATTGCTCCGATCCAGCCGATGATGCATAGGGCGGTGCCCATCATCTGAAAGCCGGCAGACACCATGTCTTCTTGATAAGTTGTCCCAAACGATGAAAAGAAAGGAAAGGTCCTCAAGAGTTAAGTCTTGCTGGTGATATCCCAGGAGTAAATGTCTAAGCGAGGGTGGAGCGGGTCTTTTATACGTCTAAGTTGGGAGGTTCTTCACACACAAACGCACATGCACATTGTCACAGGGGGCTGTGACTACTCCCCCCTCCATCACAGGCGTGTGACGGCATGTCAGTTTTTGTCTTAGTTGGCTAATCCTTGTAGGCAGAACAGTCAGTGACTCACCCAATTGAGATCTTTAAGCAAAAAGACATCATCAGCCATGTCATCAGCCACCCTCACAATGAAGCCGTAGTAATGTACTGTGGTAATAGTGACTGTAAATACTATTTTTCCATTTGAAGACTTTTGTACTTTTGAGTTCAAAGTTGTTCCCAAATGTCCAAAGCTCCAAAGGAGCACGTGTTTCTTTTGAGATTAAAAGTTGAAAAACAGCACAGACGATCTCAAACTTTAAGACTTTTCATGAAACATTTGACCCTCTTTTGTCAGAGAAGTTGTACTTGTTGTTTGGGACATAAAGGTGGAATACACAAACCACCACAGTCGCCCAAGCGCACTGACTGAAATGTATGCAACAGCATATAACTCTTAGTATCTTAGTCTTAGTCTTCTCTCTTTTCTTAGTCGTATGATTGAATAGTTTGTACACAGGATTTAATAAGGTGCACTGTTGTGAACATGAGTAGATGAACAGCAATTATTTTATTGCAACTCTGAACGTCACGGAAACCTTTGTCCATAATTAATACAATGATTTGATGAACTATGAACTCAATCAGTTCATAATGAATCAGTCCTACAACACAATAACACATTTAATGTACAAATGCACGATAATTAAGTTCACGTTAGATCCTACACTGATTTAAACAGAATCAGTAACAGAAAAGCATCATTGACTGGACAAAAAACAAAGAATAAAGCTGACCTTGCAGTGAAGTCGGTCCTCAAGGGTTGACAGCCTTCTCCGCGGGGCCGGTGTCCCACTCGATTTATCGACAGCTCGTCACAGCAGGGAGAGGATATCAGGAGGGAGATGTTCGGGGGAAATGGCAGAGCCAACGCCAAATGGTTCCTGCTCACACACTGTTGGAAAAAGCGGTAACGTTGAGAGGTACAAAGAGAGGTAGAGAGAGAGAGAGAGAGAGAGAGAGAATCAGATTGTTTCAGAAATGAATGGAGGCAGTGTTTAAGGGCCAAAATGCCTTTAGGACTATAATGCCTCTATTTTATCTGAGGTAGGATCATTAAAGCTACTCTGGCCCGGGCTATGGAGATTGGGTTCCACACACAAGACGGCAGGGAGGAATTTCCTATATTACCAATCTGAGGAGAGATGGTTTCAGAGTGAGATTAGTCTCATGTCTTTGAAACATTCGCATATCGTCAACATGCAGCGACCTCAACACACCTACAAAGCACAGGATCAGCTCAGGAATTCACAATGATTGTAAAAAAAGCCGTGCCAAATCCCACTGCTCATGCAAAATTAGGTTGTTGAAAGTTACGGGCATGAATAATGCAGTTTTTCAATGTTTATTAAGGACACTAATGAAGCAACCGAGTTCTTCCGTCGAGAAGGACTCCAGCAGTCTTGAGAAAATGCCACAGGGAGCCGAAGTGACAAGTGTCAGCAGGATGATAGAGGCAGGTCCAGACAGGACAGGTAACGGCTGGCTTTGGCACTCACTCAGGTGGCCAACCCTTCAGTCAAAACTGGCTGGGTCAGTCTAAATAGAAAAGAAACTGCCACAGATCCTCCGTATGTGTGTTTGAATGAGAGCGCCAATGTGTGCAAGTCACATACTGAGAGACTGAGCCAAACAAACAACACAAACAGACTGTGGGATTGTGGTCTAAACTTTTGGTTCCTCATTTGGCCGTGGATCCTAGACTACAGTCTATGAAGTCAAAGCTAATGCAAAAAGCGTCTATTCAAGACGAGGAGACGCTTAGAAAAAGAGAAGCTTTATTTGTGGTGGATTTTGTGTGAAACTAGACATTTCCTTGTATTGGCTGTTTAGTGTTGACAGAATAATCCAGAATCTTACCGTCTCAGCAGGCATCTTAAATGTTTTGCAGTCAGAAAACCAACAAACTAGTTTATTTTGGTGATTGGAGAACTTTTATATATCAAACCAATACCAAAAGATGAACATAGACTTGAAGAAAGCATAATGTTGGTGCTATGAATACCACAAAGCTAAAAGTAAGTATATGTCTGTATGAATAACAGTTGATAGTACATGTGTTTTTTTTTTATTTCACAGTTTTTGAAGCTTATTGTATGTGTGAGAGGATTTAAAAGCATTTTGATTATTTGTATGTTTGGGTAAAAAAACAAACATAGTTTCATACGTCGTGTGTCGGGCAGAACGTGTGTGTGGACGTGGAAGTTTCAGTATTTGCAGAGTGATGTCATCAAAGCGAGCCCTGAGGCCATTGTTGTCCAGGTACGCGTCACAGTTTCACTGGAAAACCAAAGTACGGGAGTGCGGTTGTGGGATCCTCAGTGACTCATGCGTGTTTGGGCATGACAGGCGATCACAAGAACAAAACAGGAACCTGAAGAGATGAAAAGTCATGGATGGAGAAGTTCCCGATTGTGAAAATACCACAAGGAAAAATCCTGCATTTAAAAGCCTTTATAGGTGTCATTGATCATTGATCAGTAACATGTTCCCAGGCAGTGTCGTACAATTGTATATGATGTTTGTGTATTAATATTGCTGCCTGATTATTGTGTGTGAATCTTTTCATCCTGTTGGTAATTGAAGCTTCAGCAATGCAGAGCCTGTAAGATGTACAGTATAATAACATAATTCAAAGTCTCTCTCTTTGTTTTGCTTGGGAAGTAAGCTAGTATTCCCAACACCAGTTTATCACAAATAAAACATTCAACACCAACACATCTGGAGAAATACCTGGTTGTCACTGAACTATAATCTGTAAAGCTACTGAAACTCAGTCAGTTTCCTTATAATGAAGTTTAAAACTGCATAAAGAACAAGTTGATCAGATGTGTCCTTAAGTACAGTGTCTGAGTAAACGTACATTCTGGTTTTCGTAGGATTCATTCTGCTGCAGACCATGTTTGTCATAGGGAGGAAATGTAAAGGTAACAGGTGAGTAAACGCGTGAAGCGGAAGCTGGCGTGAAACCTGGTCATGTGCTAAACATTCCAGGGCGGGACTGAAGGTTTCTATTTTGGCCTGAGGAACCGTTCTGTTTTTAGAGCCCAGGATCAGGGCGTTTTAAGGGTTTTATAATTAACAGAACACAGGGTCAACTTTTGGTTCCATACTTTTTATTAGTTAACCCTCAAATCCATGTTCTTTCAGGTGTGGTCATACCTCGTGTGAACCATGAGTTAATGATGAAACACAACTTTCAACAAAAGCAAAGTGCTTTCCTGAACATGGACAGAATTTGTCAAAAAGAATAATCAGGTAGTATTTAGTACAAAGGAAAGCTGGATGTGAGGCAACAACAAGCCAAAGGAGACAGCGGTGCCTCAGAGAAACCGGTCGGACTCGCTCCCGTTCCCACGACAGGTGAATGTACGGCAGGTTGCTTTCAGCGAGTGGCTACACGTAAGGGACCTGCAGAGACAACAATAAACGCGGAACTCCCTCAATAATGACCATGTTTGGTGCAGATAAAGAGTAGCATGTCATTCAGAGATAATATCTACACCGATGAGTTGCACCCAGCAAACAGAAGGGTGCATATGATAATAGAATCTCCCCTTAAATGTGACAATCAGTGGAATGGAATTTTGAAATGTCGGACTCTAATGATTTCAGTGAACGCATACTGCACTAAATGTCCTCAAAAACATCTTTTTTAAAACAGGACCTTCATGTGCAAATCAAGAAACCTAAACTTCAAATGTCCAATCTTACGGTGAGTGAAAAGATAATTGCAAAAGGACCAGAACAAACTCTCTATGCGTCAGATTGAGCGATGAATTGTTTTGCCTTCAGAGGCAGGCGAGTGTGTTTTTGAAGATGCGTTGGGCAGGTGTGAACACATGACTGATACTGCACAAGATATAAAAAGGCAGCAGTGTCTCACCCTCCACCGAGGGACTTCCTGAATACAGACGCCTATCGTGTCAGCAGAAGAATCAAGTATCTGGTTTCATCCCGACACGGTTGTTAGAGATTCCAAGAGACACAAACATCATTACTTGGAAATACCGAATATTAAACACTCCTTGCACAGACACAGTTGCGAATCAAAACCAGTTTATGATGACTCCCTTTAACCACAAACATATTATTGACGGGCACTTTCTGCTAAACCTAAAACATAATTAACACATCACAGAGAGAATGCAACGGTGGCTCCCTCTGTCTGTTAAAACATGCACTTCCTGTATAAGCACATGCACTATTAGTCATTAAAAATGGTTGCGTGAAGTCTCCAAAGTCCATGAACGAATATGCATCTTTTCTGAACCCCCTTCTATCATCTGAACAAATGTTTTAACCCACCTCCTTCATTTTTTAAGGATTTCTATAAACACCATTTTTCTTGGTTTTATCTGTATTAGAATAGTTATCAAAGGGGGTTAATGTATTTCCACATAAGTGGCGTACTGAACATGAAGTCGGACTTATATTCCGAAGGAGACTTCAAGTCTTTAAAGTCCAACTGAAATGGAAGTCAGATCGTCTACTGGTTCTGAAATGTGGCGTATTCCCTCAGTGAAACTCAATACTTGGCCGGTGTACAGTTACAATAGTAGAAATGGACCTAATCATCGTGACGTCACCCACTAGTTTTTCGGACCAATGGAGCAGAAGTGACCATATGAGGAATGCATATGATATGACAGCAGCCACCGGTCAATCACGGTAAGCCTCCCCTAAAGCATACTCTATGGTCTAATTGGTCTAAAGGGACCGTCATTCACGAAATGAACATCGTCGTTGAAGAAGACTTGAAAAACTAGAGATAGAATTTTTAAAAAACATATGGGATGAATGGGAGAATGAGAGGGTGATTGAGTGTTTGTGTGTGTGCGTGTGGAGGGGGTTATGCACAAGATAACAGAGATACTCATGACCGCTGACCCCAGGTGACCTCTGTTAATTAAAGGAAAGCCTGTAATGACACAGACCTCAGAGGCCCTGTTGTCTGGCGAACAACAAGAGACTCTAGTGGCGCCTGTTGATTTAAGATTCGATTCAATTGGTGTTCAGCCGCTGCAACAATAAGGAGGAGCTAAGGATTTAACAGTCAATAATTAATTAAACATCAAAGGAATTGATGGTTTGTAAGATTTTTGGCCTAAAACTAAATATAACCTTTATCCTTTGAGGCTTCCCCAAAAATGACCATATAAAGGAGGGTTAAATACACAGAGCCACCATTAAGCCCTGGATATGTATTTGTGGTTTGACATTTGCAATATTATGTCCCATGAAAATTCAAAAGAGTGTTTTCTGCTCCAGTTATGAGACCACCATATTTAGTTTTTTAATATTTAACTATCCTCCATTTTAAATGACAACGCCTCAAACATACCCACTGACAATGAGGCCAGTTACCTGTGTTTTTTCTTCCTGGAGGGATTAGGTATCTCACCAGGCAAAAACAGGGCGCGTCATTGTTCCACCTTTTTTTTTTTAACAGGGTCTCATACTGATTGTGATTCAGCAAAGTTCCTCAATGTTGTCACATGTCAAGTACACATACACTAACATTTATAAGACATAAAATAGAAAGGTGGTACAGGTATCTTTACGTTATACAGTGTAATCAGGAATGAATGTCAACAGTAGATGTTAAGACAATATTATCCTCAATATTATCCTTCACTGGCGTCAAAAGTCTCATGTACTTATTTCAAATATTTTTTTGTAAGAATACTGATGGTTTTCCCATGTGGCGAAGAATAAGCAAGATGAAAAATGTGAAAGTATTCCCATTTGCAAGTGCAGTTTGAAGGTAAAAAACGATGCCACCTTAAGCTGACTCCACCTTCAGTCGTCTACGCTGCATAAGGAGTAGGTAGAATCCGTTTCTCCCTCTCTCGAAAAAAGTCTTATAAGACGTTGAACCGAGAGATCCGATATCGCCTTCATCTGGGGAGGTTTGAGCCCGCGGAGACAGAGAGGCCTTCTATACCACAGAGGAAAAAGAGCCTTGTGCAGCTCCCTCTTCCTCCCCAGCTGCGACTATGTACTCCGCAGGTTTGGAGATCCTCGGGATGATCCTGGCCGTGGCGGGCTGGCTGGGGGTGATGGTGGCCTGCGGCCTGCCCATGTGGCGCGTGGCCGCCTACATCGGTCAGAACATCGTCATCTCCCAGGTGATCTGGGAAGGCTTGTGGATGAACTGCTCGGTGCAGAGCACGGGTCAGATGCACTGCAGGGTGCACGACTCCATGCTGGGGCTGCCGGTGGACTTGCAAGCGGCCCGGGCCCTGGTCATCGTCTCCATGGTGCTGTGCGTCGTGGGCATCGGGCTGTCGGTTGCCGGGGCCAAGTGCACCAACTGCAGCCGTGACGTGAGCAGTAAGCCGCGGCTGGTGGTGACCGCCGGAGTGACCTTTGTGGTGGCTGGACTGCTGCTGATGGTGGCCGTGTCCTGGACGGCGCACGCCATCGTCCTGGGCTTCTACGACCCGCTGCTGCAGGAGACGGGGAAGAGGGAGTTTGGGAACGCGCTGTACTTTGGCTGGGCTTCCTCCTGCCTGCTCTTAGTTGGGGGAGCCCTGCTCTGCTGCTCGTGCCCACCCAGAGCGGCTGCAGCACCGAGCGGTAGCGGCTCGGCGGCCCCCCGGGTGGACTACTCGGCTGTCAAGATGCTGTCGGTGAACGGATACCCCAGAAGAGACTACGTATGAACATGCGAGCTGACAGTGCGGGTAAAGACGCGATGACCGCCGTCAACAAATGTTTGCAGAAGCGGTGGATGTTAATGCAGCATCGAGGGCTTGGACATTAAGTATGACGGATGTTTCATGGTGTGTTTAAGTAGTGGTGGGTATCTCATACTGCTTTTAATACATTATTTCATGTGCAGGTTTTTTACTTTTTCCAATAAACATTGAGGTTGTGTCTGATCTGAAATAAATACAATGTCTATTCTATGTCTGTTTATGTCTACAGATTAAAGAAAGTTGTATTCAAGATTTTAATCAACAACAAAACTTTCTTTACAATGTGATCGTTGAGTCACATTATTGAGTCTGTGTGGTGAAGACAAACTTGGTAAAACTGCACTTTAATATGTAAATGTAAAAACATGATCTTTAAATTAATATTAGTTAGAGTTCTTTCGCATGAACAAACAGGGCCAGATGCCAGAGTTCAGCAGAGTCTGACCGATAAGTTGCACGGCAAAATTAGGTATTGTATTTCCATACACGTGGAGGAAAAGGAACAATGGGTGGCTTGTTTCAGAGAGGCCCCTTATGCTTCCCTTTCATTGTAGCCCGTCCGCCATTAGCAAGAGCGAAACCCAGCCGGAGATAAAAGTCTCCTTCTCCTGGGGTATGTACCCTGCACTGTAACTGAGCCACAAAGACCCTGTTGATCAGGCGCCTTCCAACTGTTTACTTTCGTCCCCCAGGTTGGATTCACTGTAACAAACGTGCATCGAAAGTCTCAAACAGTCAATGAACTTAAATAATTAAATGAATCAATGAAAATAAAATAAAAATACAAGACTATATGGCCTTCCACACTAAATAAATAGGCAATACACAGGCAATAAAAGAACAAGAACAAAAGATAAACATTGCTTTTCTTGCCTCCTGAACGTGCTTTGTCTTTAACGACGAGGTTAATGATCTAAAACGATGGTCTTCTAAATATTCTTAAAAGTCACTGTGACTGCAGACCCTGCTGGCAGGATTGTGCAACGGCCCAGTCAGAGGTGAAGACAAGCTACAATATCTCCCAGCATCTCCCCCTCACAGGAGTTCCAACAAAATACCACCACCAACACGATATTGTAGTCTTGGAGCTTTGCCTCAAGACGCATGAAGAAGAACACATCACCTCTAGACAAAGATGGTGAACATTACACATGTTTCACCCCTGCCTGCCCATGTTTTTCTTCCTAAACTCTGTTCAAAATTTCTCAAATAATCTCAATAATTTGCGCATCAAACGCAGGCTGTGTTACAAAGTGATACTTTAGACACCACATTAAAGTAGCACGTCTTCATTTTCAGTCCCTTGCATTGTCGTAGACTTTAAATAATAAAAGGTGCAGTTCGGGTTCAAAGGGGGATGAAGGTGGTCCTGGTCAAACTGCCAGGGGACCATGTGTGCATGGGGGAGGGTGAGTTGTCAGTGGCACGAGGAAAACTTAAATTGAGGTTGAATCCCATGATGCACTGCGACCTTTAGGGCAAGGACACTGATAAGAGGCTGCCCTTGTGCAAACGCACACAGTCGTTTGTCTGACCCACACTCTGGACTCATCTCCAGAAACATGTGGATGTCCTGAGAGAAATACGTGTGTGCCAAATAAATTGTTTTCCTGTGTGCCTTTTACATGCAGACGCTGTATGTTGAGAGTTGTCTGGTTTGTATTACAGTTCCTGCACACAGTCTCCTTTATGAACCATCATAACCAAAGGAAGCTGAGGAAATTTGTTTTTAGTATCACAGTGCAGTAATCACTCCCAAACCCGTTACGCAATATCTTATCATCCTGTGGTTTCGAGAGGAAAGTATTTTAAGATCAGTTTCGGGTCGAGAGGAATTACATCTTTGTCTCCCCAATGCTGGAAAATCAGTGTGTATATTTAGTAGCTAAGTTATGAAGTTTACAGTAACTGGAAAGATAAAGTGTTATGACCATTCACCACTTTTGGAGCGGGTTTTTGTAAATGTATTCACAGAGAAGCGCTTTGCCGGACAGTTACAAGAACACTCTTCAGATAACCAGAGTACTTCCACTAGTTTCCAACGAACCTGATCCGTTTAAAACCTCTGTCATTCACAAGCCCTTTGTGTTCAAATCCCACACCACTGAGAAGTATTCAATTCAGAATGCTCCAGGAACTCATTTGTCAGAGAGGAGTACATTAAGAAAACCTCAATGCCTTCGACTTTAAATCATTCATCCTCGTTCTTTAGCGTGCCTGTTATTCTTTAACCACTCCACCTGAGATACAGGGCCTCTGTTTACTCTCCCCTCACCCAAATATGAGGGAGCGCTACCGAGGCGAGGAAGGTGAATGATTAAGCGGAGTCCTTCCCCGTGTCATACCCTTTTTTTGCACATTCAAACAAGCTGGGAAAGACCACGATTTGAACTCCTCTCTGGCCAATAACCAAGTGACTCCACCCTCCATGCTGGAGAAATCTACTGCTTATATGAGCAATCAGCAGTCCTGAGAATGCTCATTCAATCTCCACCCCGCGACGTAGATTAAGCAGACCACTGTGCACTTTTTCTCACACAGAGTTCAGACATGCCGTCAGTGGGCCTTGAGATACTTGGAGTAACTCTGGCTGTACTGGGATGGATCTTGGCCATTGTCTCCTGCGCTTTGCCCATGTGGAGAGTGTCGGCCTTCATCGGGGTCAACATCATCACGGCGCAGACCACCTGGGAAGGCATCTGGATGAACTGCGTGGTGCAGAGCACGGGCCAGATGCAGTGTAAAATCCACGACTCCATCTTGGCTCTGAGCTCGGATCTCCAGGCTGCCCGCGCCCTCACCATCATCTCCATCTTGGTGGGCATTTTAGGGGTCCTGGTGGCGACGATGGGGGCCAAATGCACCAACTGCGTGGACGACGAGCCGGCCAAGGCTCGCGTGATGATCGCCGCCGGGGTGGCCTTTATTCTGGCATCCTTGACCCAGCTGATTCCCGTGTCGTGGTCTGCCCATAGCATCATCATGGAGTTCTACAGTCCGCTCATACCTCAGGCCCAGAAGAGGGAGATAGGTGCGGCCCTGTACCTGGGCTGGGCTGCAGCAGCACTTCTGCTCATTGGAGGGGGCATCCTCTGCTCCAGTTGCCCGCCGCAACCAGTGAAAAGATACGGGCCCCCATCAAAGATGATGTACCCCCAACAAACTAGGTCGCTCGCCCCGAGCGGCTACGACAGGAGAGACTATGTCTGAGCTGCCACCTGCTCCTTTCTCACACCCCAAGGGGGGAGGAGGGGGGAGAGTACTGCTCGGAGAGACCCGGAGCGGACAGTCATTGTTTTTACAACACGTCTTTCTTGTTTATTGTATGCCCTTTAGAACAGAGGGCAGAATTCACTTGTTTTTTCTGTACTGAATATTTTGTGTGTGACCTTGGGGCTGCTGGGAGCACCGATGCTGAACAACTTATCCATGATGACATTGATTATTTTATCTGTAAACCAATTCATGTGAAATGTTTTTGTATAAAATGTTACTTTTTCATTAAAAAGGCCTTTTAAAAAATGGTTTGTTTAGGCTGCCGGTTTTATTATCGTTATTGAAGTTGAGAGGGTGAAACATGCTATTTCAACGTTGCAGGGAAATCACATAAAAGTTAAATTGCCACTCAAATAGGTGTGATGAGAAGTTCGCACATTTGGCTGTACAATTGCGTTGATTTAACATTTAAAAATAGATCATGTAAAATGTGGTTCTGTGCGCCCTGCATACTCAACCATTAGGCTGACGGCTGGGAGTCTATCACAGCCCCCACCTGTCTCCCGTATGTCTGTTGGCTTTGTGATAACAAGAACCTTTACTTCTATCAGCTTCCCCACACTCAACCATCTGAGCTGCCTTCACGGACAATAGACCTGCTTCATGTCAGAGGGGGAGAGACTGTCAACGCTGGTGTGTGGGGGAACATCCAGGGAGACGGGCTCAACCCCGAAGAATTTCAAGGGCATTCTACCGAGTCATTAAGGGCCGTCAAACAGAACAGGGCAGGTGAAAGACTTGTAACTTAAAGGTGATCCTTAAGCTGAAGGATCCGTGAGGTTTAAAGGGCTCAGTGTACACACAGCAGGTTTTTTCTTAATTTGTTCCAATGAGGGAAGAACGTACGCCGCCGCCAACTTTGTTTTCAAGAACGCTCGGATTATTCTGTGCTGTCAGTAACCATGTGGATAGTGACCAACATGTTTTCTTCTTGCCGCAGTGCTTCGGCAGAGACGGTTCAGAACAAAGGCTGCTCAGACTCAGGCTCCTGTATCCGTGTTACATAAATCTCACCCTCTTATTAAGAAACTGGGTCAGAAGTTCTTTATTGGGAGACGTGAACGTGCCCACGTGCCTCCGTCTGTGCTTAGAGTCTCCTTTCCTCTTCCCTTAGTCTGTGTGCAAGTTTTATTCAAGTGACTAATTCAATCCCCCTGAGGAGAGGACGCCAGGCGTATTCAGAGATCAGCCGCCGTGCGTGACGCCGCTCTCCGGAGGTTCCTGATCAGCCCTTTCGGTCAGAGCGCCACGTCTGTTATCACCCGACATGAGCAGCGGCCTGGTACTTTTTTGTAACTTTTATGTTGACAAATATAACTCAAATTAATATCTGGCATGGAAATTGAGAACAAAATACCTGCCCAATGGAACCAGTCAAATGTTGTGATCCAGTCGTGATGGTCATGTGACAGTTTCTGAATACGCCTTTAAATGCTGTCTAGAATAAACTGAGAGCTAAAAGCAAAATGTTTGGTGTTTGAGATTTCACTACACTTATGATATACAGGTTACGAGGAGGTCACTGGTGAACACAGGAAAGGTATTCTTAATTTATCATCATCAGACCGACCAGTTTTATTATAAGGAATCGATCCACTAGTTACTGAGGACCTCGAATGCTCTGCTGCTTGACAAATTATAACCACAGATTCTGAAGCAGTCTGATTCCATGATTTCTTTGAGCATAATAAACACAATAGTTTGTTTTTGAACAATCAGTCTTTTCTTTTTTGCATCTCCCCACGGAATACAGTTCTACTTTTATTTTTATTCAAACATTAAGCCTTTATTTATCTTGGAATTATTTCTTTGCTCATAATAACATATGCAAGAGTTGCATGCCCTTTCAGCTGTGAAAGGCCTCTTTGTGGCCCATTGTGAAGCTGGCCATGTAAGCCGATAGCAGAACGTATCCAGGTCCTTCCTCCCCTTTTGGTGATGTCAACTCCTTCAAGGACTCCTCCCCTCCACCCGATCCACCTTATAAAAGTTACTGGTGAAGCTGAGGCAACGGAAAATCACACACTCACAGATTACTACTAGTTGGGTCTCAGGTTGACCCTTTCGTCTTTGCAGATTTATAACCTCCTCTCAGGTGTGACACACAGTCAGGGGCAGAAGAGGAAGACCTTTCAGCATGTCTGTAGGGTTAGAGTTGATAGGCATCTGCCTTTGTATTTTGGGATGGATTATTGCCATTTTGGCGTGCGCCCTTCCCATGTGGAGGGTGACGGCCTTCATCGGCAGCAACATTGTGACCGCTCAGATCATCTGGGAGGGCCTGTGGATGACCTGCGTGGTCCAGAGCACGGGCCAGATGCAGTGTAAGGTCTACGACTCCATGCTCGCCCTCTCCCAGGACCTCCAGGCCGCCCGCGCCCTCACCGTCATCTCCATCCTGCTCGCCATCCTCGCGGTGCTCATCGCCATCGCCGGGGCCAAGTGCACCAACTGCATTGACGACGAGGCGTCCAAGTCCAAGGTGATGATCATCTCCGGGGTGTTCTTCATCGTTGCCGGAGTCATGCAGCTCATCCCTGTCTCCTGGTCGGCCAACACAATAATCAGGGACTTCTACAACCCGTTGCTTACCGATGCTCAGCGGAGGGAGCTGGGGGCCGCGCTGTACATCGGCTGGGCGGCGGCTGCCCTCCTGATTCTTGGCGGCGGACTGCTCTGCTGCTCCTGCCCGCCGCGCGAGACCAGGTACAATCCTTCGCGAATGGCCTACTCTGCCTCACGGTCTGCAGGTGGCCCAGGGTTGGAAAGGAAAGACTACGTATGAAAGATGATCGAAGAGAAAAATAACTTGAGTCGCGAACCAGCTCTCCAAACTCAACTGAGGGTGTACTGAGGAAACGAGCTGAAGGGAACAAGGAGACTCCGTAAGGATATATGTGTTTGATTTCGTCTCTCTGACCGGCTTTGTTTTTTCAGAGACCAAAAATCCCTAAAAGGACATTAGAGTAAATCTCCTTTAATCATGTTTCAAAACAAATAAAATAATGTTCTGTCTTTTTTCAGATCAACACGCTAAATCTTAATGTCACAATCAAGACCAAATCATATATACTTTCTATACAGTCATGGCGCCTTAATGTTTACCACTGAAAAGCCAGTTCTGTTTAGATAACGGAGGACTTCTTAAATGGTACAAATAAGCCATCAAAGGTATTGGGTGTGTGTAAATACTGCAGGATGCGTGTCATTATTCACCTGAAACTGTCAAGGCAAGTGACTGTATTCAATGCAGTTCTTGGTATATTGTGGGGGAGAGGACTTTAAGTGTCTTACAATGGGGACGGAGAGCAAAACCAGTAACGACCTTTGTGTGCGATGAACAACTGCAATAAATGTATACGACAAGTTTTTGTTTTTTAATAAACATGACCCACTTTTTTTAAACTATGCATATATTGTTTTATTTAAAAAAAATGTCAGCAGAATTAAACCGGAGACAATAAAAAATGATGCCGAGCGTTCCATCCAAGCGCCTTCGTAAGAGCACCGACATTTGATCCCAAGAGGCTCCGTTACCCACCACTGGCAACTTAACCACACACGCTCTGAACAATTAGCCACGGGATCAGTTAACGGGTAGAGGTGGGAAGTGTGAGCGCAGAGCGGAGGAGGCATCTAAGACAGGCAGGATTTATTTGTTTACCTCAGACTTCTTTTATCATTGGATGCGTTCCGGTGGTTCATTCCAAAAAGCTTGGAAATACTTATACAATTGTTAATTTGTGGGAACGGTCCCGTATCACCACCGACTTCTCCTTTTGGCCACTGGACCAGGTCTACTTGTTAAATTAGAAGTACATTCTGTATCTTTTACATGGAAGCCTCCAGGGAGTTTCCCAGAGTCGGACAACCTCCCTTTACTCTTCCACTGCCACCTTTGTTATTCTTACGTAAGGATGAGATGCATCAGTGCAGATCACAGATAGACTATATTACATCTAACCAGCCAGAGTTTGCGTGGTAGACATGAGTCAAGTCCTTCATCAGTCCAGCTCCAAAACACACGCAACCACACCTGACAAAAGAAGCTGAGTGAAAAATTAATGACCATCTTATAGTAAATATAGGAGCGATACCTTGGTGCTATATCACATTACTTCCAACTGTTGTCTCTTACTCCCATATCAATGTCGCCTCTAACAAAAGGACGAGAAGCGGCTTGACATCTGGTCATGATGACGGTAAGTACAGATCACCTCATTTGAAATTCTAATAATTATTAGAGAGGTTTTGAGGTTTTTCAAGTGAGGAAATTCCACAGGGAGCCAAAGTGACAAGTGTCAGCAGGTCAATGGAGGCCGGTCCAGGTAGGACAGGTAACGGCTGGCTTTGGCGCTCACCCAGGTGACCAAACCTTCAGTCAAAACTGGCTGGGTCAGTATGAATAACAATGCAAAGTTTAAATAAAAAAGGAACATTGGCCTTTTACACTACAGCTGTGTTTCTTTAGATTCAGAGTTTTATATTATCTCTGCCACAGATTCATCGTATACGTGTCTGAATGAGAGTGCCAAACTAGTATAGAGTCAAAAGTGCCAATACTGCAGATTCATCATTAGCAGTAAGTATAATATTATTGTTGTAGTCAGTTTTAAAGAGTGAAATCTAAAGAAGCTTGACATGACAGGAATGTTATATGACATCAAATCAATTCCAAAAAATGAACATTAACTCTCTGTTGAGTAAATGCAAAAATGGTGTACAAGGCTAAAAGCGAGTATATGTCTATATGAATATTAAGAGTTGATAGTACATGGCAGGATGTGGTATTTTAAGTATTTTAAGCTCATTGAGGGGCTTTAGTATTAGTATTTTGACGATTCGTAGTTAATGTTGTTTGCCCCCAAAAAACAAAACGCAGTTTCGTGTGAATAGATGCCTGTCTCCAGAGAGAACGATATGGTGCATTAATCGTCGGGCAGGAAAAAAATGGGTCAGTAACATGCATGTTTGTTGCTGAGATAGAATAAAGACATTCCTAAGTACAAAAAAGTTTCCTACTTATATTAAACTAATAGGATATTCTTTAAACAATGTGACAACTGAGAAAATATACTTTTAGAAATTGGGAACATTTTATTTATTTGGTAGGGTTACGTAAGTCTATTGCTGTAATGTCAGTCCTGACAAATTTCAATAATGTGTAATGAAATTTCAGATTTCTTGTATTGCAAAAAAAAGTTATATATATATATATATAATATATATATAAACTTGTTTACAAACTAATCATTGGTTGACTCATTAAAATCTCTACAGGTGTGCATTATTTCATTATTTTTTACAAATGAGGTTGTAACTGATATAAAAAAAAGATGAATTGTTCAAATTGGTTTAATTCTCCTTAAATCCTGTCTAAATGACAAATGATCCGCTACAGTAATCAGGCTTTTGAACATTCTTGTGCGTTGTTCCAGTGGATTGTTTAAGGCCCTCAGGCATGTTTGGTCATTGTTAAGCTAATTATTGATTCTTGAACAGGTGTACTCTAAAGCAGCCCAAAAATACACGTTTCCCTAGAATTTCCCTTTCTCCAAACGGTAGCAAATAAGTAGAAATGCTTCATCTATTTAGTGAGGTGGGAGTGACATATTCACGTGTGGACTAACAAGATACTATCAACTATGAACAATATAGCACACTTAGGTAAACCAAAGGTTCCCAACGACTAGAACCAACGGAAACCTAAATCGAGCTAAAAAACAGAAAAACCATTGCGCATTCTGAGGGACTCTTTGGTCATGCTCTGCTGGTTCTGGCCAAACTCCGGTCACATGACCGATACCGGGGAATGTGAAGGGCAGAGAGGTTACCTGGCACCTGAAGTCAGAAAGAGAAAGCAACCCCCCTCCGTCCCTGAAAATAACACAGGCTCCCTCTGTCCCCTGAGTGGGAACAGCACTGCTTTCCTAAGGTTTCTTCCCTGCAACACCAAGTTATCAAAATCCCAATCTGAACCACAACAGAACCACAAAGGAACTGATTCAGCAAGAATGCTTCCCTATGAGTCAGAGTTACAGAATTATAAAAGGTTTTCAGATTGAAACCTTCTCAGCAGAACATTTTCCACTGTTTTTTGGGGTAACTAGTGGGGTAAATCAAAGCTGCAGGACGAGGACTTTATGGCTCATATACTCCGGTGATATAATACGTCCGGTTTGTAGTGGTTACAAATAGCTTTGAATTTATTGACTACACCGGCAAATGAAAATGTCCATTTAAAAGTGGCGTCATAATAATAATACATTTTATTTATAACGCACTCTTCATCAACAGATCTCAGAGTATGACAGAGATGGCAAAACATAGTTAAAGATAAAATAAAAGCTATAGTCAAAACATATTTTATTAAAACTCTTTCAAAATCTGGTTTTAAATAGATTTTAAATTGTCTTCTTAATTTCCTCAAATATCCTTTTTCTTTGTCAAACAGCCTCAACCTCTGCACCTGTAAGGCCAGATGTCAATTATAGTGTTATGCTTGCCACGCTATGATTAAAGCAAAAGGCGGGCTGCCGTAATCCTAAAAACTACACCGGAATAAGTTGACAAGCTATTCTCCTACTTTTCTTTTTTTCTCCAGCTATGGCTAATTCAATTTAATTCATTCATTAAATACCAAAATATAATCCCCACATATTTACAAATAGCACGAAAACTATGTACTTTGGGGAGGGGGGCGTATTTCTTTCAAATAAGATGAAAAAATGTAGAAGTTAAAAAAATAAGTTGTTCAGGACTGAGCAGCTGAACAGGAACTAGGTGTCCAAAATTAAATGAGGACGTTAAGGGAGGATGGTGTGCAGAAAAATGTGAGCCGAAATATTTTTTGTGTCAGGTTGTACCTTTAAGCGTGTGAATGCGTGTGCATTTTGGTGTACCCATTATATCATTGTACATGGCAAAGCATCCTCAAATGTACCTGCTGTTAAAGTTCCCAGCCCGATGAAAGGAACAGATACCCTCCCTCACATTCCAGCACAGGTCCTCCCGGGCCAGCAGGGATAACAAACGCTCACTCTCATAACTTTCCAGTTTTTCAGCAGTATTAAATCAGGTTAGCCTTTGAGGTTGCAGCAGCAACACATTTGGAAAAATGGGGGTGGGAGTGTGTAACATTGATAGTGAAAAGCTTGCGGCTGAGAAGAAGCACAAAGCTTAAACATAGTGTAAAGACCCAACTTCAGATTCCAGGTTGTTAATGTTGCAATTTAAAAAGAGAAGTCTAATTGAACATCCTAATTTTTCATTCAAATTTAGTATTTTCTCCCAATTTTTTTAGTATAGTATTGGAACAGAGGAGCGAAATAAAGAGGCAGAACATGCCGCCATACGTGTGTTTTGTTCGCAGGAAATTACAAGAAAAATATTCTGCTGCCGTCCAGGGGTGAAACTAAGGAATGAGCTTCTTAATAAAAGCAGTGTGATGACAGATATCCGCTGTTATAAGCCACAATGAATCCTGCACAATAATAGCTAAACTCCCTTGTGTAAGAAATCCACATGTCCACATCAGTGTGCTCAACACACTTTAATAGTACAAGTGTGCGTACTTTTTTATTTTCAAACCACTTATCCGAGTTAATTTTGTAGCGAGGAGGAAAGGTGAAGAGTTAAAGATTATCAGATAAGTTCAATATACAACTGAAATGAATGAATTCATCAAGTTACACTGGCTAAAATAGTATTAAGTTAGCAGGTTTGACATTACCATAAGTATTTATGATGTAGCATTCTTTTTTGTTAAGCTCTTGGCAAATTAGCGAAGCTCCATTCACATCTTTTATAATGATGTGATTTCTCTTTAACCTTCACATCAGGACCGTGTTTCATCTGCATGGCTTTGGTGTGCCATAAAACTCACTGAGTTGGACACAAAGCGTTGGTGACATGTAGACGTGGAGCCTGTTCTGTACCAATCTGATCGGCGGTATGGAAATCAGATTGAATGTATCTTACTTTTTACCTTAAGTCCAAACGTTCTTCTTACTCAGCAGTGCTGAAATTGAGGTAGAACGTTACCACGTGTCCACAACTGCGCTGGTAAATGCTTTTAATTCAGCGCAATTGACATTTTGGGTCTCCAAAATCTCCACACAGAAACACATGCGTCTCGGCTATAAGGTAACGTTAGGTAAATAAACTAATATTAAATTATTATATTATAAAGATGTAATGTTACCTTCATCGCTGTCCTTCAGGCTCTTAGCAATACTAGTGTACAGGTGCATCGGAATGACTAAGAGTCAGTTATTAAATGAAGTTGTTTTGTCTAAACCTGCACGTTCTGAAGTTTGTTTCCAACCAGGCTCTTCAGAAATAATAATCTTCCGATGGTGGTGGAGCAAGGCCTCCAAGAGATGCTTCTCAATTTCTCTTTTCCCGCTCTTGGTCAACCTCCATTAACGTTTTAGCGGCCCTTCTCTTTTGTGAAACTATTGCACCCCAATCCCTAAAACAGCTTGTAAATTTAATTGGTAACATACCAGTAATTCATAAATAATATTCCTACAAAATAATGCAATCCAACTTTAGACATATAGGTTCATCTAAATGCATAATAGTGAGTTATTGAATGAAGCGTTTTAGTCTAAACCTGCACATTCGTAAGTTTGTCCCGTGGATTTATTTCGACATTTAGCGAAAACTACCATCGGCACGATTTTGTTTCCCCAATTTCCGAGACAAATTTGGAAGGATTGATTAATTTAAGCAAAAATAACGCTTGAGTCCCTATACCCGTGTTGACACATTACACACAGTCCCTTCCGGAATAAGCGCAGCTAGCGCTTTATTACCATTTTACACCGAAAAAAAACATCAAGCAGGCCCCAAATCAGTTTTTCCATAGTTTGTTAGCTGAAATTCAGACCATTCCATTTCCCAACATTATTCCAACATTATTAAGTGCAATTTTTGTACTGGCATGAGCTCTCATGGATGTAAAGAACTTTAATAAACACATGTGGCATGCAAAGATAAGGCTCCACTGTGTGACCCCACAACAGGGGGTCCACTTGAAGCCATCGTTCATGGTAGTTCTCCACCAGTTGTTTTGATCACACCTACACTGGTCAACAAGGCAACTGCCTTTAATTCAGCACAATTGACAAAGTGGGTCTTCAAAATATTCACAGCGAAACATGTGCATCTTGGCTACAAGCTAACGTCAGGTAAATTAACTACAAAGAGCTAACGTTAACGCAATATTGACCAAAGAGATGCTGGTGTTTGCTGAAGGCTCAATGAAATGAACTTGATTTATTTTTGCCTCAGCAAAATACAGTTAAACTAACTGTTAATTGATGAAAACATGCAAAGCAGCGGTGGAGTTCGGTGATTGGATGTGTGGGGGGTAGACTATGGCATGAGGACACTGGTGGGGGCTACATGTCATTCCTGAGATGACGGACGCATATTGCGGACAAGTCAATCCACCTCAAAGCAAATAAGAGTTCAACCTCGTATCAGTATCCGATTACCTCCCGACATTCCTCAACCTGGTTCTGTTCAACAAATGCTTCTTTTTTCATGAGACGTTCATCTTTCTCCCCTCAAACATATTTTACATTGTTAACCAAAATCCTTGACCTAAGAACCCTTTTTACCCTTCATTTTGACTACATTTGCCCACCAAATATTTGGAGCCGGGAATACCAACCTCTCAGAGAAGTTGCAGTTGAGTTCTGATGCCCCATGAAACAGTTGAGCTAGTTTTGCTCTCAAGACTCTGTAGGATTTGACTCTACAGGCTTTAGAAAAAACAAGAAAAATATAAATGATCTAAGAATTTAAATCTGCTACAATACAAATAGAAACGTCTACCGCCATCTAGTGTGGAGATGAGAGCACTGCTTCATGTCTTGAACAACAATTAAAATCGTCTGATCCCTGTTTTACTCTGCAGAGCTAAACGGTAAACCTGTCATATTTGATCAGTCACCTACCTTCCCGTCAAGCATCGTTTTCCAATTTTGAGTTACATTAATCTGTATAAAAAGATTCTGTTAAGTAACACAAAATGAAAAGGTGCTTAAACTTTGAATACTAAAAAAGGTGCATGAACTGAAGAATAGAAGTCCAAACAAAGGAAATTGTTTTGAATTTGATACGTTTATCATCACAAAACAAATACATCAGGTCTGACGAATAGTGGTTGGAAGAAGGCGGGGTGAGAAGTAGAAGGTCGACCGCTTTAAAAACCCACATTCTACGCTGTCCCATACATATTTGTGCAAAGCTCACAGCAGATCTGGCAACATCCCTACAGATTTCATTCAATTTGTTAGATGACAAAAAATACTAATCAAGTAGCGTCTTTGTTTGGCCCGTCACAGACTCTCTATCACAGCTTCTGGTCCGCGGCGACCAGCGGCGTGTACAAGTATGCTGCGTTGTCGTCTTCCTCGTAGATGATGGTCACGGTCTCTGCGCCACCCGACCCCGCTGAGCCGCTCTGTATGCAAGCCTGCCAATGGGGAACAGTTTAAGTGATAGCTTGAGTGAGTTTTACTTTTTAACACATCTGGAACACTCGGGGTCTCCTCACCCTCTCCAGCAGCTGCAGGCGCTCCTCGTTCAGCAGGTTGCTCTGCCTCAGCTGGCTGACCGTGTTCTCCAGGCCCAGGAGCTTCTCCAGGTGGCGGCGGTGGCGCTGCTGCAGCACCTTCACCTTCTTCTGCAGTTCGCCCACGATCGCCTCGAGCTGCTCCTCGCTCAGGCTGCTTTTGTGGTAGCTGCGTGCGTGCAAAAGGAACGGAGAGACGATTGCAATCAGGGGTTCAAAACCTGGTATGAAAGCTGCGAGTCGGTGCTCACCAGTGCTCCTCCAGCTGGTGATCCGGCCGCTCTGCGACGCCGTGCTCCTCCTCCTCCTCCTCCTCCTCCGATGTGACGTCGTCCTCCTCTCCCGTGTCCAGGGACGCGGCGGGGGCAGCTATGTGCTTGGACACAATGGGCAGAGTGGACGTGATGGGCTCGGCGCTTAGCGCGGACGCCAGCACCGTGTCGGGGCGGACGGCGGGCTCGCTGTGGAAAACGCTCGGCATGGTCTCCAAGTAGGCGAGGACTTGGGTTCCCCCCGAGGGCTCTTCCGAGAGAGTCAAGATGGCGGCAAGCTCACCCGGCCCCGCACCAAAGGGGCGTTCGGACATCACAACCACCTCCTCGCCGTTAGTCAGGCTGCGTCCTGTCTGGAACAGAGTCAAAGGGAAACTCGGCACCGGCTTGAACCCGACCACTGACTCCAGGTCAGCCGTCAGAGGGCAGTCCGACTCCCCGGCATCGCTCGCCTCCAACCGGCTGCTTTCCCCCTGAGGCGAAGGGTCAACAGTGATCTCCAACAGGTGTACGCCGTGCGAAGTTTCACCTTCCCTCTCCGTGGCGTCTGCAGCCGGCATCCCGTCGCCAGTCAGCGCCACGCTTTGCTCGTGGTGAGCGCGTAGCCGTTTGGGCGCCGCCTCGCTGGGATCCACTGCTTTCCGTTTCTAGAAGGAAGAAGTGTGTGTATTCAGTCAGAGGAGCAGACGGTGATCATAGTTCAGCTGTAGTGATGCAATCATAATGCTTCATGCAGTCTTTTGATCACACGCATGTACCAAGTGACATTTTGGGCAAAAATATAGATTTTCATTTTTTTATTGTACTATATCAAATTACATGACAAGAGTCTTCTCACAATTAGGGCAGAACGAATATCGAATATGATCATGCTTATGTCTTTTAATGGAATCGTATAGGGAAGAAACCCTGTACGGAAATATTGTGATACACAATTATCGGCTATATTGATAACGAGCACAAAATTGATTGTAATTCTTGAGAGAAAATGTAATTAAATGATTGTTTTATTATCAGCATTCTATTTGTAGAAATACAAATAAAATTCTGTAAAGTATCTACTCACTTGAAACCTAAAAATGAATAATTTTGTTATTAGAATTTATCTATTTTTAAATAAACGTGATGTTTACCCTGTAACTTTATTCGGCCAACTCTGGTTAAAGAGCTGCACAATTAACTGAATGGGGAAAGAGGGTAAATACACAAACATAAACTTGTTGGATGCCTCGACCTACACAAGGACACAAACGCACTTCATCAAGGTTTTTAGAGAATGTTCGAGACAAACTTCCAGCACATACACTTGTAAAGATCATAATGTCATGCCTCTCTTGAGTTTCCCATTATTTCTACAAGTCAGATCTTTCCCTGATGAAGGGATCGGAACAGATACCTCTTTGTCACAAAAACATTCACAAAAACATTCATGGCAAATGTTTGGTTCTTTTATGACTTTATTATGGGTTAACAGAAAAAGTGATGAAATCTGCTGGGTCAAAAATATACATACAGAAACATGAATTAGCAAGTTTGGTGACTTAGAAAGTTGTGTCAATGAAATGAGCTTCATAGCATGGCCTCTTCTAAAAAAAAAAAATCAAGAGAGCCATGACATTATTATTATGGGAATAATATCCCAGTAAGCACAATAACGACCCCAACATGATGGCTTCTCCTCCTCTCACCTCAACCTCCGGGAAGACTGTCGGCACAGCGTCGCTCTCGAGGTAACGGATGCCCCATCGCACCTTGAAGCACGACGGCGCAAAATGCTCGTGGCAAATATACTGGTGCCGAGAGGGCGTCCAGCTGCCCCTCCGCATGTTGCTCAGCCACTGCTGCAGCCGGACCGGGTCCTGTAGAGGGAACCTGGAGCGCAAAGACAACTACGGATGTTAGACCCTGGAATATCCCTGGGTTCCTTCCGGGGGAAACATTCTAAATCTTCAGAATAAAGACCACTTTCAACTGTTCCTGTATACACGCTGGGGAACACGCAGAAGACATGCATTGTAGACATCCTCAGGCGGAGGCTGAGATCAGGCATGGCAAATTTGGGACAGATTGGAACCAGTCCAGTGGAGACATGAGCTGGTTATTTAATGCTGAATCACATAAAATACCCACACACGTCTACGCTATTTCCTTAACATGTAAAGCTTTTGATTATTTTTAATAACAAAATCACGAATGGCAGAACATTTTGGTGGGTGCAGTTTAAGGGCTTCTTTGACTTTTTAATACAGCAAATAGAACGGGACATATGCATGTCATGTCTCAAATCGCTTTGGACATACATGGCAAGGGGGGTGTCCTTTACAGCTTGAGATCAATTGTAGGGGGCGCTATATAAGCATCTTTTCATCCAAATGTCAGACCCCTATTATATCTAATAGTCCTGAAACTCGTGCCAACTAAAGTGAGTTCTGTAAGAAACGCAACAGCTTAACGGGGCCTTTGCCTCGTCTGTGCTTGGGCCCTAAAACACAATAAACTGATGTGCATGTTAATCTCTAAACTGCCTCCCAAGCCAAAAATGTGACGCTGTGGCACATTTTGGTTTATGCAACCCTGTATAATGTGAAATGCAACACAACCAACTCAGTGGTGATGCCGTATCGAATTACATTCATATCAAATAATAGTGCGTGTGGGGAAGACAGAATAATAGACTACTTTTGAAATGAAAAGCTATTTAGCGGCAGCAAAGCTTGTAGCTTCATACCACAGAAGTCCTCTGCTCAGTGTTTCAAAGTACTGTTTCTGATACAAATTTTCAAATGTAACGTGTACGAGTATTTTGATTTTACAAAACTTCATACGTACTCTGTTTTAAAACATAAAACACAAATATGCCATTATGAAATGATTTACTTTACGAATCTACACAACGTATTTTTTTAAAAAGGCTCCACATTGAGGAACATCATTTGCAATACGTATTGTACTTTTACTGAAGAAAGCATTTGATCATGGCCATACAATTCTATTGTAGTCTACTAAAGTAGACTCGGTCAATGAATTACCAGCTACAAGATTAACACGAGACACAATGAGAATAAACATTGGCTTTTGCACTGGTCAATTATTACGGTTTTTCAGATTCTTCGCTTCCATAACATTTCTTCCACGTGTAAAGAGAAAAATAAATCCCAAATACACATATTAGCTATTTATTTTACGAGTTTGCGTTTAAGCTTCCGTAGATGAAAAAAAAATCATTCCAATTACTAAATATAAGAAATATTTAACACATAGATTTAGGGGGATTTTTTAAGTCGATAAATTAGTAACACTCAAATACAATTCAAATCAGGACACAAAAGGTCAACGTGAACAACAACGTTGAAGGTAACATCATTTTATTTTAAATAGAAAAAAACCTGATACGTGTACATTGTTGAAGTTCAATATGTTTGGAGTATCGACGTTGTGAACGCTGAACTCGCGGGTGGCAACACCTCTCTCTAGTCTGTCGATGACGCCTCTACCAGCACTACAGCCAACGTGGACTAACAGCTAGAAGGCACATTAAGCAACTTACTTGTAGAAACTCTTCCTCTCGCTGCCGTTTCCGTCATTCTTACAGTTTGGGACAGAACAGTACTTTGGCATCTCAAGTCGGTGTTATTGCCGAGGGCCGTCTGTATTCGTGTACAACTCTGTTTCTAACAAGGTGAAACTCGTGCCGTGTGTGTTTGTCAACGCGTGGCGCAGAGTTGACGACAGGTGATCAGCTGTTGGAAGTCGTGACGTTTAATCAATGCGACTTTCGCTCAAAAAGATTTCGAAAAGCTACAACTAAAGAACCGTTCTTCAGAACCGTTCTTCCGACCGGGTACCGTACCTTCAGACTGCGGGTAGAAAACTTGAGGTCTTAGCCGGCTTATCTAACGTTAGTTCAAAGGAATGGTTAGCATTATAGCCGGGCTAACATTAGCATTTAACAGCTTAAGTTAGTAACCAATCAGAGGCCGAGTAGGGGCGGATCTTTCCGAAGGCTTTCTGGGTAGACGGTCCGCACATGCGCACAGCGATCATTTCATATTTCTATGAAAACAAAACTAGGGAAATACTAACGTTTGAAAAAAAAAAAAATGTATTCAAAACACCCATTTTCAAAATAATGCAGTTGCGTTATTTAAAAAAAAAAAAATAGTTGTTGATGCATTAGAAGTTGGGAGCTGGCTTGCTTGTGAATTTCACTAGTCACCAGTCGCGTGTTATACATGATGTATTTTAATGAGTTATTAAACCTGCCAGGTAACTATCAGATAACCGTAGAGTGAAATGTACAAGATATTACCCACTGAGATGCAAAGGAGTAGATATGTGAAGCAGCAGATGGTGGTAAATACTAAATAAAGTATGAGCACCGCAAAATTGTACTTTGTGTACTTTTTCTATGTAGCACAAATAAATGTGTAATTATTTTTTAACCCTATCACAGGTATGCATCCCCCTGCTTTTAAGTAAGACCCGCCCTCCGTATTATTGTAGGGCTTGGATTGGCCAAAAGTCAAAGTGCAAAGGCACCAGTAATCGGATTTGTTCAGGCACCACGTCCTGACCAATAGGGGGTCCTGACCCGGTGGACTCAACGTCCATGCTTAACCTTGACCAGTCGTCTCAACCCCAACCTACCCGTGGACAAGTCTTCCCCAGAGGCTCCAGTGGGACCCCGTCACAACACGCAGACAAAAAGGACATCAAGTTAAATGTAGACAAAAGTAATGGACATAAGGATACCAGCATGTTTTTCTAAAATCACTGGACTAGGTTTTTTTTTTATTCAATATTTTTTCTCCAAACATTACACAGAATCTTTAAATGATACAGTATATTATATACATACACGTCAGCGTATTTCTTTTATCTAAAAAAAGTTGAGGGCCATTGGACAATGCAGCTGTGCGCTTTGAGACAGGATTTTGATGCTTGTGTACTGTAAGAATTCAACGCGTGGGTCAACAGAGATCGGCCGTGTGTCACAGGGAGACCAGAGTGCCATCGGATACACCAACGCTCAGAGAGCAGACTGTGCGGGAGCTGCCTGGTGAGTCGAGGATGGAAAAACAGGGAGAGCAGTGGAGTCTACCTCAACCGGAAGCAGTGCAAATTAAATGTTACAGCTCCGTGACTGAGCTGTGGAAATACACCACTAATGGTAAACAACACCTTTTAAGAACGCCCCTCCCCCGAGAAAATTCATTGCTTTTTTTCCCCCCTAGACTGGGATCATACGTAAAAGTGGACTGACATACTGTAGGATAGTTTGAGAAACACTGATAGACATGCTGCTCGTCACCCAGTTAACAAATACTCCAAGCTATGTACACGGGCCACCAGCACAACACTGCGTTCCAGAGTCACAAGGCGCTTCTTGCAAAAACTGAACAATCATTTTTCATTACGGATCTTTGGTACATACCAGCTATTTGATCCCTTCTGCAGAGTATATCAAATAATTCTAAAAACCAAGCAGCTCAAAGAAGGCTAATCTGGAAGGTTGTTTTCTTTACCCGGTGGTGGAACACACAAACGGGCAAGCGGACAACGGGAATGGAGATTTTTTTTTCCAGTTCTAACAGATAACATGATAGAACGTCCCCAGTCGTAGACTGGGCCGCATTGCAGTGATCTCTGCCCATCGAAGCTACACTAAGTGTTTTCCAGTACACAACCAGGGGACGTTTTGTTGGAGGGGGCGGGGTTGGGGGGGGGGGGGTTCCTTTAGGCTAAGCACGAGCATGTCCGAGCACTGTAGGGTGTGAGGTGGCTGGGATGGTTCGGGTCAGACGGGAAGGTCGTCGATGTCACAGATGGGTCGGCGCGGCCTCTACATCATCCCCATCTGCATTAGCGAGTTGGCATACGCCATGGGCTTGACATTCGGATGAGGCTGTGAAGCAGAGCGAGAGGCAGACAAACGTTACCCCTTCATTCAACCATTCAACGCACTTTAAAAAAATAAAAATAAAAAGCCTTTAGCAGTCTATGTGCTTTTAGTGTTTTTTGTTTTCAGCCGTGTTGGTTACGAGAGCGTTTTTACTGGGCCACTTAACAGAAGCGGCATGGCAACGTACTGCGCCAGTTTCAGCTCACATTTTGGATAAGCACTGGAGACATTTTGGACCGGTTTAAAACCCCAGCAGATGTCAGATTAACTTGCAGCTAAAAGAAGTGCAACAAATGGGCAGTGGGTTAGTTCCTGTGTCTAGTGGTGGAAAGGACCTTTCCGAATCTTTTGACTTGTTTTCATGAACGTAACCCCCTTTACACAGCAAACCAAAAAGGAGCACATTGGATATTTCAGGCATGGCTCAATGAATGAAACCAATCACTGTTGATATAATCTGTGACTCAAAAACATCACACCTAAAATTTAAGGACGAAAACCGATGGCAATCAGCACAGTCCAGCTGTGAGGCGGCGTCTGCATCGGCAGAACTTTCGTTCGTATCGTTTCAGTATCCATAGAAAAATCTGAATAGTGACCACACTACATTTAAGCACAGGATACTGACCACAGCAGTGAACTGGTGGAATTCTGGCTTTAGGTCCGATCCCCTGAGGTGGATGTACGCTCCTTTGTTTCCCATCTGATCACTGGAGGAGGACGAGAATACAACGCATAGTATTTAAAGTAGACCGCGTTGGCAACCCAACACGCCAAAAGTTAGCCGGCCTCATCACGTACCAGTAGTTGGGTGCTGAGAACACAGTGATGCACTTCCCTGAGTGAGTGACCTCGTAGCCCTCAGCTTTGACTTCATGACTACGCACAATGAAATCCAGCTTATTTTGCTCCAGGAAGCGCTCGGTCACATCCGGCCCGAACTGACAGCTCACGCCTCGCTTGCTGACCGACCGGCCGTTCTGCAGAGACGGACGGAGAGAGGAACTGTTAATCCAGTCGGAGGTGCGCTGAAGGCTGGAGCCATTGTGAGCCGCGAGGTGGGTGGGAACTGACCTGAGGCTGTGGATCCGACCAGAGGAGGTCACACATGGGACCTGCAGGGGAGCAGAGCAGAGGGTTGCGGTCATTCTTTCCGGAGACACTTGGATTTGGTGCATTTGGAGTCGGAGCCTACCTGAGTCCGGAGGCTGTCTGTTCCTGTCAATCTTTCTGAGGTCGTCCAATGTGACGCCATCTTCACTAAACAGTCCGCCATGCATGACCTGAGATGGAGAGTGTCATTAAGCCGGGGGGGGGGGGGGGGGGTAACTATACACGGTCCGACCCGTGTTAACGGGGTGGACAGTTTACAGTGAATATAGAAAACCATCCATTTGCCAGTGATATTATGAGTGATCAAACCAGCCCGGACACCTTTCACAGTTTCAATATCTGGAACAAAAACTTAATTTTTTTTCAAATTGTTTACATTCAAGGACATTTTTTTCGCCTTTGATAAATTGTATATAAATGACAATAATGAAATATAATTCATTTCTAGACTGAAAGCCAGATTCTGTGTCTATGAAGGGCAGTTAGGAAGACGTTACACACAGATGGGGCAGGCAGCGAGGCCCGTGTGTAAGGATTTTCTGGCCCGGTCGGTGCTTTGAACCCACGACCCCCCTGCTTACCAGTACTTTGCTGTTGATACACTGGGCAAGAGGCAGCCACTGGAAGACCTCGCTGAACAGCTGGAACATCTGCGCTGTGTACTTGGCTTTGACCTCTCCTTCAAATCCATACATCTGGTTCATGTTGTCAGTCTCATGATTCCCTACATGTAGAGAATGAGGATTAAACCACAGCGTTTAAACTATTTCACACCTTCATACAAAGTCTAACGGTAACCATAGAAACCGAATTAATTGGGAACATGTTAATGGCCAATAAAAGAATTTCAGTGTTGTGCTTTGAAAATTATGTAACGACACACGTGTGTCCCAAGACGCAGCAGAGCAGCTCTCACCCCTGAGCAAGAAGAAGTTGTCTGGGTAGAGCAGCTTGAAGCCAAAGAGGGTAAGAATGACCTCCAGGGAGAAAGAACCGCGATCAACAAAGTCACCATTGAACAGCTGGATTCTGGAGTTAAGTATCATAACGCACACGTTTTGAGGCTTTTAGTCGTTTTAAGGCCTTTACACACCGGGAACATAAAAAAAATAAGCAAAACCTGCAAACATTCTATGTATGAGGCTTTTATTGTGAAAGGAAATAAAGGGTAAATCTAATCGGAGCTGCCTTTGAAAAAGGTTGAGAGCAGTAACGTAGGCTGAACCCGTGATTTGTTGTTTCATGACAGAAACCGGTTCTGCACAATGTGATCGGTAGCTTTCCTTCTTTGCAATGTGAAAGCTGTTATAATAAAAGCATGTCTTTGAGACAATGACAATAGTTTAAAAAGTGTAAAAGCCTTCGGACACAGGACGGTACAAACGAGGAGTGCATGAACACAAGTGTGAGAAGGATACATAGGGGTTGGTCTCTGATGGTAAACCATTCAACTGGAAGATGTTGAGGAGATCGTAGTACTGTCCGTGTGTGTCGCCACAGATTGTTATTTTTTCTTTCTGTGGCAAATAGAAACAAAATGTAAGTGTATACAATAAGAATGAAAAATAGCATTGAGTTTGATGCCTGCAGTCCCGTCATGAGCTGATCAACAGGATCAATCGAGTGGTGTAGTCCCATTCTACATAAACTAACAGCAACCTGTAGTCATTTCACGAGCGATCACAGTCCTCACCTCTTTTAATGTGATCTCAACAAGACTCGGTAGCTTTGAGAGAACGTCTTTAACTTGCACCAAAATCTGAAAGATTTCAATAAAAGAAAGTTCAATAACATGTACATTTAAATGTCTTTCAGTTGGAGCTTGATTAAAAAGAAAAGAAGTTAACCTGATAAGCACACTTTCGGTGCAGTTTCTTCTGTGCTTTGAACCAATCCATCATCTCCTTCATGAACTTCAATGTGACCTTTCCGTCCTCCAGCT